ACTCACCTGTACGTATATAAGCCACTGGAATATACCGCAGACCGGCAGATTTCGCCTGGTCTGTATCCTCCCTCTTACTTACCTCGCGCAAGCGACCTGGGTACCTTCCGGAGTCGTTGACATTAGGCGAAATCTCGCTTACCCACCTCGCTTCTCTTGCTTGGGACTCTTCTCGTCGTTGTCAACTTCGCCGCTGTCGTAGTCGCTGCACGGTTCACCGTAGTACGCCGCGACACCGGACGTGCCAACTCCTTCAATTGTCACCGGACATTGAAGCAGCGTATCGAGGCTAGACCCTCCCAGCCCGCAAGAGGCTACGCGTTCTTGTTGTCGGATCCCCGTACTTGTAGAGAGCAATCTTGTCATTGACCTCTGTGTCCTTGACGGGCGGTACAATACGTCACAAGCTATAGAGGCATTGAGGACCTTGCGCTAGACCGTGACTGTATCGCTTTCGAGAACTCTCTACGCCAAGTGAGTACACCTAGGCGCAGACCTTTCCAGGTGGTTAACCTGTGACTTTCCTAGTGCCTCGCCAGCACCGTTCCCGCCGCTCCCGTCGCTCGCAACCCGCGCACCCCACCCCTGCCCTCTCTGACGCACACTACTACGAGCGTTACGTGCACATCGGATTCATTCGCTCAGACGTTCAGACTACGTGGAGACAAGACCGTCCTGCCGCTACTGTTGGACTCTACTACCCTGAGCAACCTTCGATCGACGGCATTCCACTCCACCCAGGTGTCAACCATATCAACGAGCTCCTCCTTGCCATTGTCAACCGTGCTCTCAACTGTAACCTCCGCGACGACCAGGACATCTTTGTCACCGGTCATAACGGACAATTCATCTGTTACGGCTATCAGACCGAAGGAGAGCACCGCATACGAGAGTACTGGGCCGAGTTCCGTGATATCAAGTTTGACCGTTACGGAGTCTGCCGTATCAACCTTCTCATCCATCAGGCCACCGCAGTCTACAGACAAGGCCCCGCGCGTGTTGGACAAGTCCGCAATATCACCGAGATCCTCCGTGACAGCCTCGGATTTCCCCTCACCTATACTACCGCACCGGCCGCCTGAGTCTGCAAGAGACTATTGGGCGCGCATCCTCCCCCGTGTACCGGCAGACGATCGCCGCACACAACTCAACACTTGGGCCCTTCTACTCACGGACGAGCAGAGGCGCACACTTGTTGGCGGTTACCTGGCTTGGGGATCTCACCTGCTGTATACATCTGAATCATCTTCTGCTTCCGCGCTCCGTTACATATACTGGGGTCGTGTTATCGCGTACCGTACACCAACCAAAAAGAAGTACCCAGAGATTGTTCCGGGTCTCTTCATAGACGAGTACGATCACGTTACCACCCAGTCCGCTACATCTCCGTTTCCGCATCCCGTTCGTTTCGGTACCAAGTCTCTGCCTGCTGTTCCCCGCCGTAAAAACAAGAAATCCAAAAAGAAGGCTTCGGTTTCTGTTGTGTAACATCATCTATACATCTATTTGCACTTGAACGATGTCTGAGAGCAAACCAAGCACGTCATCGCTCTCGCCGGGCGACCCGCAGTTGCAGCCACCGCCGCAACAGGCTGTACAGAACACAGGAGATGAAGAAGAGACGGATAGTGAAGATGAGCTGGAAGAGATTGATCTGGACAAAGGGAATGATGGAGTGCAGAAGAACATAGCAAGGCTATTCAAGATCTTGGTTAAGGACAGGCGCAAGGAGACGGAACACCGTTCAGAAGTCCGCAAGCCGACTGACTTCAAAGGGACTGAGAACTCTCGAGACGCGCGCAACTGGATAGACAGCTTTGAACGCTACTACTCCAACCGCAAGGTCAAGAAAGATGAGGAGAAGATCAACACCACTCTCTCTTACCTTGTCGGCAAAGCGTCAGACTTTGCGCGTCGTATTCAGAAGGAGCTAGACGCCTATGATGCTTGGAATGAAGACTACGAGGGTGAAAGCAATCCACCTCCCGCACCCAAGCACTGCGCTAGCTGGGCTGACTTCAAGAAGCGTTTCCTACATGAGTTTGTAGATGCGGATCCTGTTCAGACCGCACGCGAAGAAATACGCAAGCTGCGCATGGAGTCAGACCAGAGGGCTGAAGAGTTCCTTACGGAGTTCAAGAACCTGGCCATTGAGACTGGTTATGGAGATGAAGCCCTTATCGATATGCTTCAAGTAGCGCTCATCCCGCGTATCACCTCTAAGATCTTGGAATTGCGTAAGAGACCAGAAGACGTAGACAAGGACGTACCCAACTACCGTCCTGAGACCTTGGACGAGTGGTATGAGGTAGCCGGAGACCTTGACCGGTCTTACCGTCTAACACGTCAGCGCATGACTGAGATCAAGGGACAAGGCGCTCAACGCTCAAAGACTACGCCCACACCTGAGACCAACGTACCGCGGAATAACTCAAACAATAGTTATCGCAACAACTTCCGCAACAACTCAGGTGGTGGACAAGGATCTGGGAACAACCGGCGTGTTCAGTACCAGACCCGCGCAGTCAAGGACATGAGTGAAGTCATATGCTATCGCTGTGATAAGAAGGGTCATATCTCTCGGGATTGTCCTACGCGTGCTAGTGGATCGGGTCAGCAGCAGAACAAGCAGACTGCCAATCTACGCACCTTGGACATCTCAGATGATACGCTTGAGCTTCTCACTCGCGCACTTCAAAGTGCCAGTGCTCAGCGGAATGGAGCAAGCACCAAGAATGGAAAAGGAAAGGAGCCGGAGAAGGGTTTTCGCAAGAACCGGAAGTAGACATGGGTCTTCCGGTTGATGCTACGGACAAAATTTTACCTGAATCATATGTGCATCGAGACTCGGTTAACTCGACGCAATCTGCCGCGTCTATTCATGTACCACCACACATAGACTTTATTGATGATTTTGTCCAAAACCCCACGTTCGCCGCTTTACAACAACGAATTGCACTCTTGAAGAGTAAGGCCCGACTGACGATCCCGCGCGAAGCCGACGTCTTTCGCCCTAGACGGCAGTTGGATGTACCTGCACTTCTTGAGACCCTTAACGGAGATGGACTTCCCGTTAAGGTGGTAGCATTGGTCGATTCAGGAGCAACGGGCTCAGTAATCGACGCTGGATTTGCTCGCGCGAATGGCTTTAAGGAGATGCCATTAGATAAACCTATCCCAGTTCTCAATGCTGATGGAACTCGGAATCGCGCTGGAGATATCAGTAGCTACGTTGAGTTAGTCATGACGGTGCAGGGGCACCAGGAGCATATACCATTGGCGGTAGCTCAGTTAGGAAGCAATGCGCTTTTCCTCGGTCATGACTGGCTTCGGTACCACAACCCTGAGGTTGATTGGCGCTTGGGCACCATCAACTTCACCCGTTGTCCATCTGAGTGTGGGACGCCGCACAAGTCAGAGGATGACCCCTTTGCGGATGAAGGGCTAGAGCCTGGAGACCGCATCTTTGCGTTCAATTTTGAGTCATACTCCGAGGACAAGATGGAGTACGCTCGCGCTATGCACGCCCGTGCATTTCAGACACACGCGTCTAAGATTGCAGAGCAGCAGGCTGCTCAGCGCAAGGAACAGACGTTTGCGGAACGAGTACCCGCCGCCTACCATGACTATAAGGACGTCTTTGACAAGGATGAATTTGACAAGTTACCGGAAAGCCGCCCTTGGGACCATGCTATAGAGCTGAACAAGGAATTCAAACCTGTAGACAGCAAGGTCTATCCGCTCTCGCGTGAAGAACAAGCGCAGTTGGACATATTTCTGGAAGAAAACTTGAAGTCAGGACGTATACGACCATCCAAGTCACCTATGGCATCACCTTTTTTCTTCATCAAGAAGAAGGACGGTACTCTGCGACCAGTACAGGACTACCGCAAGCTGAATGAGATGACCATCAAGAACCGTTACCCCTTGCCGCTCATTCAGGAGCTGTTGGACAAGCTGAAGGGAGCTAGCTACTTCACCAAGCTAGATGTCCGCTGGGGCTATAACAATGTTCGCATCAAGGAAGGCGATGAGTGGAAGGCCGCGTTCAAGACGAACCGCGGACACTTTGAGCCTATGGTCATGTTCTTTGGGTTAACCAACTCGCCGGCTACGTTTCAGGCAATGATGAACTCACTCTTTGGAGACCTGATCGCAAGCGGCCGAGTTGTTATATATCTGGACGACATCCTTATCTTCACGGAGACTCTAGAGGAGCATCGCCAAGTTGTACGCCAAGTACTTGAAGTTCTGCGCAAGAATCACCTGTATCTGAAACCGGAGAAGTGTGAATTTGAGCAGCGCTCCATCGAGTACTTGGGTATGATTGTTGAGGAAGGAAAAGTCCGTATGGATCCCGCTAAGGTAGCTGCCATCCGGGAATGGCCAACACCTACCAAGAAGCGTGATCTCCAGTCATTCATTGGATTCTGCAACTTTTACCGTCGCTTTATCGAGGACTTTTCTAAGATCGCTCGACCACTTCATGACTTGACGAAGAATGATGTTCCTTGGCGCTGGGGAGAGGATCAGCAGAAGGCATTTGACGCACTGAAGGAGAAGATCACCTCAGAACCAGTGCTGGCTCTACCACGGGACGAAGGACAGTTCCGCGTAGAGGCCGATGCTTCTGACTATGCCGTTGGAGCCGTGCTCTCGCAGGAGCAAGATGGCAAATGGCGTCCTATCGCGTTCCTCAGCAAGTCGCTCAACGAGACTGAACGGAACTATGAAATTTATGACAAGGAGATGATGGCTATCATGATTGCCTTAGAGGAATGGCGTCAATACCTGTTAGGGACAGCAGAGCCGTTTGAGATCTGGACAGATCACCAGAACTTGACGTACTTCCGAGAAGCCCGCAAGCTTAACCGCCGTCAAGCCCGCTGGTTCACAGAGCTGCAGGATTACCACTTTACGCTCTTCCACAAGCCGGGCAAGACAATGGGCAAACCGGACGCTCTATCGCGAGACTCAGTAGAGCATATGGGCAAGAATGATAACGAGAATGTGATTCTCTTGAAGCCCGAGGTCTTTGCGGAGTCGCTGCGCCTTACCATGGTGGATATTGAAGGACCCGATGCCACTCTATACAAGCGCATCATGGATAACAAAGCGGAGATAGATGCTGAAGTACAGAAGGGACTGGAATCTGGAGATGAAAGGTGGATCAGGAATGAAGACGGAGTTATCATCGATGGGAACCGACTCTACGTACCTCGGGATGAAGATCTACGCGCCGACATCTTATATGCGCATCATGATACTCAAGCTGCTGGACATCCGGGACAGGAGAAGACCTATGAGCTGGTCGCTCGTGAATATACCTGGCCTGGCATCCGCCGTGATGTACGCAAGTACGTGGCAGGCTGTCAAACCTGTCAACGCGTCAAGATAGACCGTTCTGGACGTCACGCACCTCTTCACCCACAGGAGGTTCCATCGAGTGCATTTGAACACGTTGCCATTGACTTTGTCGGACCACTACCAAAGTCAGAAGGCATGAACATGATATGCGTCTTCACCTGCATCTTAACCAAATATGTCATCTACGCCCCTTGCACGGATGAAGTCGACTCACCGGGTTTGGCTCGACTATTCCACGACCATGTCTACCGAGACCATGGACTTCCGCGCAAGGTTATCTCCGATCGAGGACCGCAATTTGTCTCAAAGTTCACCAAAGCACTGTATCAGCTTGAAGGAGTTAAAGGCAATCCGTCTACGGCCTACCACCCGCAGACTGATGGTCAAGCTGAGCGTCAGAACCAAGAGCTAGAGACATTCTTGCGGATATGGGTGTCATACCACATGGACAACTGGACACGCTGGCTTGCAAGTGCTCAGTTCCGGTACAACAATCTAGTTCACAGCGCAACGGGAACTTCACCATTCCGTGCTGTACGAGGACGAGACCCGTATAGTGGGTATAACCCTCAGCGCATAGTGAACGTACCGGGTGCAATGGACTTTGCAGAGCAACGTCACCAGATTCTGGAGGAAGTACAGTCAGCATTGCGTGAGGCGAAGAAGCGCATGAAGGAATACTATGACAGACATGTCAGAGGCTTACGCTCATACAAAGCTGGAGACATGGTCTGGATCAGCGCTAAAAACATCACCTCCGCACGACCGACGGACAAGCTGGAGCATCAGCGCTATGGGCCATTCAAGATCATCAAGCCCATAGGTGCATCTGCGTACAAGGTTGCTATACCCCAGAAATGGAAAAGCAAGCGCGTACATGATGTCTTCAACGAGTCACTGCTGAAGCCATACGTCGCACCATACTTCAAGAATCAAGTTATCGATGACCAGCCGGAACCGGAGATCATCCAGCGTGATGACGGAGCAGAGATGGAATATGAGATTGAGGAGATACTGGATTCAAGGATTAAGGGACGGAAACCGCACACCAAGCGAGTGGAATATCTGGTCAAATGGAAGGGATATGGACTTGAGCATGCTTCATGGGAGCCAGTTGAAGGATTAGACGGCGCACCTAAAGCCCTAGCCAAGTTTCACAAACGCTACCCCGCCAAACCCAACACAAAGTCACTGAGGACAGTGATCCTGGAGGGGGGGTAATGTTACGAACACCCACAACACCATCCATAACACGCCACAACCCACCATTATTTTATTCCAATTTATCCCGCATTTTCCGCACCTTTTCCAAAAGCGTCATCCGCCACATCACACATCAATCCAGCCCAATACACATGAGCATACACGTGTACCTCAACTACAGTCTATTCACATCATCAATACCGCCTACTGGAGCCCATACCTAGCCTACCAAGTACCGGTATAGGCTCATGGTAGCCAGAACGAACCGTCACGTCGCATCTCCTCGGACCAGAGTGGAATCTCGGCCCGGCCGGCCCACTTTTGATCTGCATCGTCGCAGTCACATCCCAGATGCAACCGGGTTTCGGCCCGAGCTTCCAGCGCACGCAAGCATTATTTTCGCCACCAGAAATAATGCAACCTCCTAAAGCTTCGCACCAAACTCGGCCCCATGACTGCTGCGCCATGCGCCTCGTTTGCTGCCTCAGCTTCTAACTCGCTCACCAATCCAACTTCTTACTTACTAAACACCTCGGATCTCACGTACTGTACTGGCCTATACCATATACGGTCAGCTTTCCCGCATGCCTGTTTTGTTGCGAGACCTCGTAGACCTCTCGGCGGTCCACCGAACCGCCTTGGCCTACGAGTTTCTGCCGTTACGACCCACTCTACGACCTTTACTGTAAGACTGTTGACTTGTACAGATACTGTACTCACCTGTACGTATATAAGCCACTGGAATATACCGCAGACCGGCAGATTTCGCCTGGTCTGTATCCTCCCTCTTACTTACCTCGCGCAAGCGACCTGGGTACCTTCCGGAGTCGTTGACACCTAGCCGTCAAACTCTGCCAACGCGCATCAGATACCCCAGTCACGTCACGAGCAAAGCAAGAAAGAAACGACGCACAAGATCAGATTCGGTCAGCGCCGCGCCACCCTGTGCGATCACGCGCGGAAGAACGCACTTCATCTTCGCCAACTCGAACCGAACGAAGAGGTTGACTATAACGCTCGGATCGGCGGGCACTTTGAGTAAACACCGCGGATCGAGCCAGATAACGAGTACGCTCGTCATTCCGGCATCTTGATACTTCGACGCTGGATCCGTACGCGCGTCTTGTCGATTTTTGTCAAAAGGTTCGGCTACTGGAAGCCAGGCGACTCCCCCGGCCGCGTCCTGCAGGGGGTATATCTTACTCCTGATCGGTACATGCTCGAGACCAGTCACTTGTAGACGCGATATGATCCATTTCGCGGCGATGACTTGGTCAAGAACTATTGCGGATAGTGTCGGTGGGAATGTCAGCGGGACGCGTAGTCGGTGATGCTCCTGCCATACTAGTGGACTATCGGAAAGTTGTGATGGTTCGTCATGCGACTGCCAGTTCTGAGCCTGAACATCTCCCGCTGAGAGTATAAGATGGGTGGGAGGAGTCTGAGTGGACGACTGTTGGTGGTGCATCTGGAAGAGGGTGGGTATGAGGGCTCTGTCGATGAAGAGATCCGCGTACGTCTGCCGCCTTAAATAGCCAGAGAACAACCAACTTGAAGGACAAACGAAGTGCAGACGTGCTCTAGGCACCGCATGCAGGTGTGTTTTGTTCTTCTAAGGGCACCAGTAGCCCTTGTTACAGCTGTATGCATATTGTTGCGCCTTGACGACGTTTGTTTGATGCTTGGACTCGGAGCCACACCGAGGAGAAGAAAACTGGTGTTCTCCCTATTTTCAACAGGCGTAAAAGACTAGTCTGTGAGCACAGTCCCTGAGCGTAGAACGCGCAGCCAAGAATCCGTGCTTCGCGACAAGTACATCCATAGCGCCTTCAGAGATGCCATGCTCCCCATCGACTGCGGCAATATAAGGCGCGTCGGGGTTTGGGTACAGTCGCCACTCTCAAAATGGTTACACGGGTACGCAAGAAGACGTTCTTGAGTCGAGAAACCCATGTACGGAGATGGGCGTTCGAGAGAGAGACGGTGGTCTGAGAAACGGTCATCGGGCATATCGGTCCTGAGGCCCAATTTGCTGACGGGTTTTTGATCCGTCGGCAACACCGAAAATGATGGTCCGAGGACATCGCCGGATTTATCGGCCCGAGGTCCACCGCGTCAGCAGTCCTGAGTTCAGCGCGGTTTGCTCTCAACGACCACCTGTCCCTGGCCTCATGGGCATATACCGGCCCTGTGTTGCATTGCGACTTGGGGTCTGATATGAAGTGACTTCTGCACATGCTTCGTCCGACTTTGATGGATGCCGAGGAAGATCAAGTGCAGTCTCACGGTCGCGAATCATGCAACAGTAACGTCCATTTCCGCTTGAACGACGACCAAGCTTACTACTCTTTACCCGACTCGGAGGGCACAACATTAATGTCGACCTGATACCAGGACTCGCTGGAAGATTTCGACGACTGAGGCCTATATTGTCGTCCTCACATCACCCTCGCGGTGGACCTGCCATCAATTGCGTCGTTTCCTGTCATTGTGCTGCCCCAGATACGAGGAAACCCGGATACATACTTTCCCGGAAGAGATAAGCCTGTTGTTGTGGTTGACATGGCCATCACAGACCCATCACCGAGTCGGCATCGTTCTCGTTTCTACCTTGCCATGCTGGCCATGCAGGCTCGCTGCGCGCAGTCGGCTCATGCTCTCGGTACCTTGTGTATGCAATACAGCATGCGGACTGGACAATACCTGCGCAAAGCTCTCGATCGTATCCTGCGAGTTTTGCCACGGGTCCCGACATCCGAAGTGTGGAGGTCCGGCGTACTACTCCAATACTTGCGACATGTACGACTAACCCGGGGAATATTGTCCGCAAAGTTCAGTCTACGACGCACCTCTCTTGATCAACCCCAACCATATCCTAAGCCGTCACAGGACGGACTCTCGTCGCTCTGCTTGGGCATATTATTTGGGTGTACGGACGGCCCTACGAACCAGCCGACGAGCGACCCTCGCATCAACTCTTGACATATCGGCTCCGCCGATCATCTTTAGTACCGCTCCTCATGGACTGGTTGCAGGGTCTGGCGGAAGTATCAACAGCTGCCAAAATATCACGACCAACTGAATAGACTCGGCATCGCCCGATCAGTCAAGTCGCAGCCGACGAATCCCGACCACGTACGGAAGACATCCAGGTCCGACTCTTGCCTCTTGCTACCACTGATGGCGCGTGACACTTGAGCCTGCTCTGCATTGAGCTGGGAGTGGATGTCCTATTCCTTAGGTCCACGTCTCTCGTGGACCTCCAAAATCGTACCTCGGAAGCATGCGGTAACATGGATGAGGAGTTACGATGGCACGCTGGCTACTTACGGACTGTATGCGTTGACAGCATCTGGACTTTACACTTTCAGATATAAATATTGGCAACAAGGACACGATGATACCCTCAGACGGTTACCTGTTCTGCTGTCTTCACTCTACCGGTCACTATGCAGCTCGTCCTTGCGCTCGCCGCCGCTGCTTCCAGCCTCTTTGGTGGTGCTCTCGCCGCACCCGCCCTTGAGCCTCGCGCTACGACCAAATACGTCTTCGCGCATCACATCGTCGGCAACACTGCACCCTACACGCAGGCTACCTGGGCGGCCGACATCGCGCTCGCTCAGGCCAACGGTATCGACGGTTTTGCTCTGAACGTCGGCTCGGATAGCTGGGAGATCACGCAGGTCGCTAGCGCGTAAGTCCTCAACACCCTCTTCGTCTCGACGTCGGCTTACAATGCACCAGCTATGCCGCCGCCGCTGCCGCGGGGACGGGCTTCAAGCTCTTCTTGTCGCTTGATATGTCGTACGTCGCATATCTGAGCTTGTTTGACGTTGGTATCATCGTCTGACTGTGCTTGAAAGTGCCAATGCGTGCGCAGCCCTCTCTGATGGTGCGCCCCTTCGCGCATGGGTCACCACCTACTACAATCACCCCAACCAGTTCATCTATAATGGCAAGGTACGCCTAATCCACCTCCTTTGAGGGTTCTCTATCTGACGCGGAGGGGTAGGTGTACCTAAGCACCTTCGCTGGCGAGACCTGCACCTTTGGCCAGGGCAGCGTCGTCCAGGGCTGGACATCGGCCGTCACATCCCAACTCACCGGATCCCAAGCAGTCTACTTCGTCCCCTTCTTCTCCGTCGACCCTGCCACGTTCTCTTCCTACTCTAGCCTCATCAGTGGCGCGATGAACTGGAACGCCGGATGGCCGATCTCGCTCACTGCCAGCAACTATGCTAGCCTTGCTGGTACGGTATCGAACATTGATGGGACGACTACGGATAGCCAGTACTTGAGCGGGCTGTCCAGCTTTGGCGGGAGCTACCTGCCGACGGTTTCTCCCTGGTTCTACACGCACTACAGCCCCAGCACGTACAACAAGAACGTGAGTCCGCTGTTATGTCTGCTCCTAGGCACGGTACTGACAGCATTGCCAGTGGATCTATTACGCGGATAACTGGATGTACGCTGCTCGCTGGGAGAAGCTTGTAGCTGAGCGCAACAGCTTTGACGTCGTGAGTATCACTTCATCGCTTGCGAGAGTGGACACAACTGACCCCATGCAATCTAGGTGGAGATCGTCAGCTGGAACGACTACGGGGAGAGCCACTACATCGGCCCGGTAGAGGGTGCTCTCCCGTTGAACGCAGGCGACTGGGTGAACAACTTCCCGCATACAGGCGAGTGCTACACTATGGCTTCCTTGCGATGATGCTCACCGCGCTCTTGCAGCTTGGCTGACCTTGACGAACTACTACGCGACCGCATTCAAGACGGGCAGCTACGCCACGCCCACGACAGACAAGATCATCCTCTGGGTCCGCCCCCATCCTGCCAGCGCAACAGCGACATCGGACTCCGTCGGCAAGCCGACGAACTATCAGATGGTGAGTTCACGGCCACTCTTCGATTGCTACGCGACGCTAACATGTGCTCGCAGGACTCTGATACAGTCTGGGTCGTCGTTCTCGCGACCTCCCAGGCCACAGTCACGCTCACGACTGGCACGACGCAGACGACGACCGTGAATGCCGGTCTCACGAAGCTCTCTATCCCCATCACCGCAGGCAACGGCGTGAAGGCTACCTTATCGCGCGGAACGACTACCGTGGCTACCGTCCAGCCAAGCTTCACATTCACCGCCTCCCCTACGTTGTACAACTATAACGTTCTCGTCGCTTCCAACTAGGTAGCCTCCATCCATATTCTCTTTGGTCTCCCGGGTATCATGGTAGTAACGAACCCAGCTGTACATGATTGTAACTGGCTGTTTGTAAAAGTATGTACAATACGGCGTAGTCATGATCGAAATCGAAAGCCTCTGACAGGTTGTTTGGAGAGCCGATTGATGATCCCCTGTGGTATGTCAACTTGACAGAGATAGAGCCTGCCCATCGCGGCCTTGAGGACCAGGGTCCAGGTTGCGGTCGGCGGAAGCAAACCCCGATCGCGAGGTGACAGGACGGTTGGGCAGTTTGCTCTCAACCTCCATCTGCTTATCCTACACCATTGGACGTCGTGCTAGCGTCCTAGACTTGCGAATCATGCCGCGGGTAGAGAGTGGGCGTCCTTGCCCAGCCCTCGATGCCATCCTTCAGCGCTTCAGCGCCAATCACGCCTCCGTGGGCGCTCGGAACAGTTCTAAGTCGGGATAAGGACACGTATCCCTGCAATTCGATGCCAAAGCAGCATACCTGGTTACGAGTCATCCGAATCATGGCCACTGGTCCCTCCGTCTCTTCGCTCGCAAATGCCGCACATGCACTTTCCCAGCTGCATCGCCGACCAACTTCGTGCGCGCGTATGCCACACGATCACCCTCTGGCCCGCGCCCTCCCGCACTGGCGTCGTATCTCCCTCCGCGTTTGGTGGAAATGCCATATCCCTTCTCGCTTGCAAGCCCTCCCACTCCCAAATTCTCATATCCTCTTCCGTCGCCTTGTTCTTCCCCTTTGGTGGCCGAGCCTTTATGGGCCCTGGATGTAACCCGCTCTTCTGCAACCTCTCGACCAGGAACATCTCTGGCAACATTAGAGCTGCCGCATCGCCTGACAGCGGGTCTAAGGGTGGTGGCCGCCTCGACTTCTCTCTCGGTGGCGGTAACGGCGGCCGCGGCGACAACGGTGTGGACATGCAGAGGCCCATGGGCAACAAGGCTGGTATGGGCGAGATGGTGGTCTTTGTCGTACATGCACAGGACTATCAACAGCGGTACTTGGGATCGCGGACGAGAACAAGATCCACGGGACTACGCGGTCCTGTTCCCATCTCTGTGCTTCTTTTGTTCAGCCGCGCCTTCCTTTCATCTCAGGGCTGTGCTAGATTTGGGTGAGGCGTAGATGATGCGCTGCTTATCTGATCTATCGGGGCTCCGGGACCCACAGCCATGACAGCAGCCCTACGACGCACCTGCTACGTTGCTCGCCAAAGAGCGATGGGAATCGTCGTCTACCGCGCAGACACCGCTCGCAAGAATAGAAGCTCTCACGATCTTACACGACTACGACGGAAGGCTGTCTTGGGCCTGTCATATTCTGGGAACTGTTCTAGGTGGCACGACAGTCCTAGCATCGGGATCATCTCCGTAACTCTTCGTACCGGCAGTGGTTACCCTCAGGGTTCTTCAGGCAGGCGACTCACTCGTGAAACTGCTGTTTTATCGCTCTAGAGGCGTCGATAGGCCCGGTATGTCTATGATGGTCTATGGTATATGGCTGGGGCCACCAGGGCCTACTCCGAATCGCGCGAACATTCGTAGGGTGCGGCGACCATGCGGCTTCTCGACCTCCTACAACATCTCGCAGGACTCACGCTCGTACCGCGTTATCCAACCTATCCTGTGGCTTCGCAGTCCTTGGTGGCATGATAGTCCTTTCACCCGAAGTGCCATCCACCATCGGCTCGCCACCCTGCTCGTATTCCTCTGGTTCTTCCACCAGACTACGTTCCGGGAAGAACACTACAGGCTCCTCGACAACGTCTACGTCTCTCTGGGAATCTTCGGCATCCTGTTTGATGTCCGGCATGATGGATGCGTTTTGTCTTCGCGGTGGTGGCCGTGTCGCGACCGGGCCAACAATGTCAGCGAATTGCTTCAAGGCCCTCCGTCAGCACCCCTGGCGCTATTCAACATGTAATCGCGACGCACCCTGATCATCTGCGCTCTCGAAGGTCTGGGCCGCGGAGTCGAACTTGAAGACGTGGTGGCTGTGGCTGTGGCTTGCGCGCTGACAGGCATCTGCAGTTCTTGATGGGGCTTGCTGTTGTATGCTGGCTCCTTCGTTAGGCCCCTTCTTTACTTATAGTCCATCGGAACAAGGGAGTCGGGACTGCGAACCTGTGCTATGCTCTGCCAGTGACCACCAACCTCGGGCACAGCTGATTGTTCGATTGTCTTTCCACGTGGGGTTCTCTGGGCGCTTGTGGGTCCAAGTGGGCTGGACGCGAGAGCTCGGTCCTGCCGCCGCCACCCTTACCTGGACCTTTAATATGGACAGCGGCCGACTACGGCTAGAAGATGCCAAGTCAAGCCCTGAGGAGATCGGTCGCGACGACAAGATTGCAGAAGGACTGCGCTTTACATGTCCACATGTCGGAAGAAGACACCTCTCGACGATCCTTTCGCTCAGCATCCCGGGACAATGCTGGTTCTATACTATGATACAACATACAATGTACAGTACAACTTGTTTCATATTTAATTTGTGCCATACGCAATCGCATCATGTCTTCTTCTCGTCGTCGCGTACGGTCATCTTCGCCATAGCATCCACCACGCAAGACTCGACCTTGATCGTAGGCAGAGGTCCACCATCCAACGCCAGCGTAGAAGGCTCCCTCTCGTCAAGAAACGCAAACCCGCTCTTCCCATCGTCTCTTGGCCACGCGAATACACCGCCGAACCACTCCTCGCAGAGCTTCCTCCGCTGTAAAAGGTCGTCGACGGTCTCGCCCGGGACCGCATTCACGTACCGGTGCTCACGCAACCTGTCAGCTTCAGCCTTAACTAGCCGCACACGTGGCCCCGGAAGTGTAGCAAGGAAAGCGCGGTCGAAGGGCATAGAATTAGCGCTGTGCAAAGCGGAGACGAGCGCCTGCGTCTGACGCGCTTCGGTGGCGCGGTGCTGAAGCAGACTCTTGCGGAGCTTCTCTTCGCTTTCGAGGTCTTCCGGTGTCAAGTCCTGCGTTAACATCCGCCACATTTGCTCATTGCTCTGCATCGCTCTATCAGCCACAGCGCATATGACATTGCATACAAGAGCTCACCTTGATTGACCAGACGGTCCTGTCGCTCTCCGAAGAGCCATTAAGATACCCAAACTCCATCTTCCTCAATTGCATCTCGCTCTTCACAAGCTCCGCCTCTTCTTCCTCGCTCGCATGCCGCCCCTCGAGCGCGAGCTTGTGCCACGCTGCCAACATGTTCTCGCGGAGGTTCAAGAAGACGGTTCGACGGTGCACATCGAAGGATGGATCTTTTGGTTTCAGGATCGAATGGAGGAAGCGGTCGTTGTATGTTATGGAGAGGCCGGGGAAGAGGGCGCGTGTAGCGCCCGAACGAAAGGGTTTGCTGTCCGTTGGGGATGTGGAAGGGCCGGCCTTCGAGACCTTGTCGACTGACGCCGGAGTGGTCGTATCGGTCTTGAGTACGCCGGGCATCGTGGTAGTACGAGTCAGGAATGTAGTGGTGGTAGTGACAGTCAGAAGCGCAAATGAGATATAGCTTGCTTGTGGCGTGGTTTATATGTCGTTCCCGGAAGCAAGCGGTGGTCAATGCGCTGACAATAGCAAGGCCCGTGCAGACGTGGTTGTCGGACCACAGACGTCCCTTCTTGCCTGATTGGGCACAATCACCACTAAGACATTGCATTCAAGTACAACAGCATGCTATTGCGGCACGGCAATCTTGCAGGCTGTCATGAAGGTACATGCAGCGCGCTTTGAGTCCGTCAGCAAACTAGCACATCACTTCCTTCCGCACTTATGCACACTTTTGTGCTCCTTCCACCCCTCCTTCTGGCAATCGGTGTCGCAGAAGTACACTAACCCTCCACAAGAGCCTGTAACAAGATTAGGATGACGCTAATATGGAAGAGTAGACCGACGTACCTCCGCATCTCTTCCAAGGACCGGTGCTTCCGCAGCTGTAACAGCGCTGCCATGGGCCTTGCTTTGCCGTGCGCGCCTCCTCCTCGACATCGACGCCTTCGAAGTCGCCACCAGGGATATCGATGCGGAGTTGCCAAAGGTCTCCGAAGCTGCGAGAGATGGGGTGCTTCTTGTTTGGAACGAACTGGCTATTGGTATACCCTAAACGTAGCGCATCAACACGTACGTTCAAACCATGCTCCGGCAGATGTTGAGACGTACCTCCGAACATATACACCTTCCCCGACTCTGGATCCGAGAAGACCGCACACTGGGCACGGTACGTAGGAAAGCCTCTGGTGATGACTTGCTTCCAAACAGGAGACGAATCATTGGCCGGGTTGGGATCGTAGATGAAGGTATCGGCAAAGTAGGAGAAGACGAAGCGCTGCCCGGGAGAGCCCTCATACGGAAGCGAGGCATTGTACCCGCCGAACGTGATGACCTTGTCGAGCTTGCGGTTCTAAAAAGTGTGAGATAATGGCGCCTCCAGTGTTCAGTCGGCATATGTACGCACATAGGTCAACCCAGCTTCGCTGCGAGGACACGGCGGGTTACCGGGTAAACGCTCTCGTCGCCACTTCTCGCCTATGATGTCCCAAGACCAGCAGTCGTCGTACAGGTGAGACAAGTCTGCGGCGCCCTTTTGACCTTGTTGCGTGGCGCCATACCTATCTCCGTCACCGAACATGAGATAGATCCGCTCCTCGGCCTTGTCGACCCACATCGAGGGCCACTTGCGCGGTCCTGGCCAGTTCACGTCCGGCTTGAGACGGAAGGCATCGCCACCATAGTGCGTCCAGCGCTTCGTCTCCAAATCGCACATCATGAGGACACTCGAGCCTATGACCTGGTCTGGGCTATCGCCTCCAAAGATGTAGAGACGATGGCGGGCTAGTACCATAGCAAACTCGCAGTAGTGACGGTCGATAGGCCATAAGCCGTCGATACGAGTGTGTATGCGCGACCAGGTGTTCGCATTGAGATCGAAGACGTCCAGTTGCTTCTGAGAAGTGAAGAAGTACGCCTTTCCGACGGAGTCGTCGACGCACATCTGGCGCTGAGAGATCAGTGCCATGTGCTCGCCACCTGACAGCGGATAAGGAGGGAGTTCGGTCCAGCCAGCCTGAGGTCTGTCCAACGTGATGTAGAAGAAGTCGTGCATCCAAGGGCCCGCAGCAGTTCGACTGCCTGCGAGGATGTAGAGCCTGCCTGAGAAGATCATCGCAGTTAGCATGGGTCGGGCTGTGAACGCATATCGACGCGAAGGTACTCACCCTTCCATACGAAGTGAGCAAAGCCCTGCCTTCCACCTACGGCGGCCGACTTCTTGAGCGGTAGTTTCATCCACGAGCCGCGTACTTGCAGATCTGGGTAGTGCAGACGATGGTCCTTGGTGAATGTCGGGTCAGGATGACGCCACTGCGCTACGGCGGAAACTTGGCCTGGGCCGACGAGATTGCCCGTAGCAAATGAATTTAAACGCGCATGCTGACGGTATTGGTCCGCTACGAAGACGCTATGCAGCGCCATACCGGTGTTGAGTAAGGCTAGGAAGATATCTGACTGTCGACGGAGACCCTTGATACGCAAGAGAGTCGCATTCGCATGGTTGATAGTCGTAACATCCCAATCTACCAGAGGGAACGGTGAGCAGGGCACATTATCGCAGAAGGCTTCCGACTGACCAAAGCGAACAGGCTTTGTTCGAATATGTACGTTCCGATATATGACCTCCATCTCTTCTAGCCATTTCAGGGCCTGCCGCTTCTTGTCAGTTCACCCTCACGAAGACAAAGTTGAATGCTTACCTCGACTCCATTACGTCTCTCCCACAAGCAGTATGACACATCATTGCAGCATGAGAGCAAGAGGGACAGCTGCGAGTCGTCCATCTCTTGGTAACGCGTAGAGGTAACGCCACCCGAGCGGGGGTCCTGAGGGATAGTAGATCCGTCGCCAACAAGCAGGGAAGCCGCCTTTGCGATCAAGTTCGTAGCATGCTGATAATCTCTTCGGCCCAACGACGTCCGACCGTCTCCGAGCAGTTCATTGACTTGGGCGAGGATTGTGTCTGTGTAGAAGTGGGTTCAGCAGTACGCGGCAACCGGCAATCGCTTGCGGACGTACCTGGGCTTACAAGTTCGACAGTGTTCTCCATGAGTTGAGAGGGGAAGAGCAGAAGAGTTCGTTAAGCAGTGACACGAGTTCTTATACGGCAACCTGCAGTTCAATATCCCCATGCAGCTTGCCGCTGACGTGCCTGCGGGACGTTGGCTGAACGTCGCAGAACAACATTTGCCATGACGCGTGCGAGGCGCGATGCGACGCGCTCAAACTTCGGCGCTTGCCGTTCTCCTACTCTGGACCGACTCATAACTAGCTCCAAAGCTGCCTACCAGGAAGGCAAGCTTCTTAACCTACTTCCGGAACATGTCCTCCGCGAGAAGGTGGACTGAATTCCTTCTGCTATATATCTTCGGTAGCGTACAATACACGGTACATTGTTATATGAATGAATGTGGTGGAACATCGGTGTATACGGCACAATCACGGGAATAGTTAGTATGAACGGGGTATAGAGAAATCCAGATAGTCAACGAATCAGAGAAACTCATTCGGAGGAAGACTAGCGCCTCGCAGAGTCGGCACCCAGTCCAGCTGCGAGCCCAGTGAGCATGGAACCGCCAGCTGATGCGCCGATGCCGTCGGTGGGAACGAAGACAGCACGTTCGCCGAACGCCTCTACGCGCTGAACCTCCACGCGACGCATCTCCATCTCACGCGCGAAGTTGTCTGTGACTTGCGCATCGGCCTGGGCCTTGATACGTACGGCTTCCGCCTGAGCCTCTGCAGCGAGCTTGACTGCTTCTGCCTGTGAGGCAGCGGCGATACGCTGGAAGAACCATCCATCAACGTCTGTCACGGAGGAAACTCAACTTCGTCTACTCACTGTACGTTCAGCTTCAGCCTTAGCAGCAGCAATGACTGAGTACGCCTCAGCATCAGCTTGTGTCTGTCATGCAAGTCAGTCGGCATTGCCTACGATCCAAGCAGAGATCACGTACGTTGCGAGCCATGGCCTTGATGCGGGCCACAGACAGCGCACCCTCCTCCTGCTTAACCTTGTTGCTGTTCTCGCGATCAACATTCGCAGCTTCGACTTGCGCTTGCAAAGCACGCGTCGTAAGCTTCTCCATCGTTGCTGCGATGTCACCCTTGAACTGGCGGTCAATGACAGCTACGGCATGCGTCAGATAGATACATAGGTGAAGTTTCGGCATGAGTCTTACCAAGGTCCTTCAGTACGATACCATACTCCAAGGCAGCGGCGTGGAGGTCGTCCATAGCACGCGTCCTCAGCGAGTCGAGGAACTGCGACGAGGGATCGTCCCTCTCTGCCTGGTCTTCCATCTCCGGCGCCATGGAGCGCTGCTTGACCATCGAGCTGTATTCAACTGCCAATCCATATTAGCAGTCATACCTGGCGGCGATGCGATTACTATAGACTCACGATGAGCCACGATCTGGGTCAGAATAGACTGGGTCTTGTCGCGAAGCGCGTCGTATGGCGTCTCGTAGCCATGCGTGGCGAGCTGCACGTATATTGTCAGTACGTTGTGGGCTACGTATGGCTACAGACTAACCTTCAGTGGCTCGGTGAGCTGCCACTTGAGGTAGAGCGTCAAGCTAACGGGAACCTGGTCGCGAGTATAGCTATGTGTATATTAGGACGGCAATCAGGGGCAGCAAGATGTAGGCAACGCACATATCCTTCGTGGGCATCTCGAACTGATTCTCGCCAAGGGTGTACATTCCGCGCAGCGTAACGTTCGGGTTCGTCACGCAATGCTGTCCGGCCTGAAGGAGTTCGAGGTCGTCGCCCCGCTGAAGGATAGCACAGTTGTTGGCGGGAATGTCCAAACTAAGGGTCGTCAGGACACGGCTCCCTTGGAAGAAGAGAGGACGCACAAAATAGCGACAACAAACTCCTGCTTTCCAACTGTGTCCTTGACTTCATGCATGTGCCCACTTCAGAACCGCGTCAGAAGCCTGGGTTAACGATGAGAAATGGCCAAACGTACAGCGTAACCTTGGTGACATGGTCGCGTACGGGCGTTGACAAGTGAGTCTGGTCAACAACTGCAAGTACGTCGTAGTTTCCAGAGATACCATACGCCACGAATCCCGCGTTCTTGACGACGAAAATGCGGTTCTTGCGTAGGGATGTCAGCTGGTGAAACGTAGGTACTCAGACTCAGCACGCGCTCACCTGAGGATCTGAAACGACAGCGGCTTGGTTCTGCGACACTTGCACGATGGTCAAACCTTTGAAGGTAATGACGCTCGAGGACACTATTCCGGCGACATGAGTTTCAATGCGGAGATGTAGTAAGTCCATCGCTCACAGTTGCGAGTTCCCGCCCAGGATCTTGCCCACCAGTTGCGCAATGGGAACGAGGGATAGCGTCCGGGTCTGAGCAGCACACTAGGCAGGCCACCATGGTTAATCAAGCCAATCTCGCCGGGGTTCACTTCGCGGCCGATCCAGTCCGTTGGAGACTTCTTCGACAGGATCTTGCCTTCGTTTCTCTGAGGGAGTGATGAGAATAGATGTCAGTGACGTCACTTCGGTGAGTACAATGGTTCGGACGAACCGACTTCAACTGGTTGTCCAGCTTCTGCAGTGCAGCTGGTAGGTTCCCCTCGCCGATCTTGAAGAGATACGGCCTGTCCTCCGAGAAGTAGTCCGCGTTCGCTGTCAGGCCGTGCACCACTGTGCCATGGGGTATGGTCTCGGTGGTCTCCTCAATTGACTTGCCCTTGGGCTTCGCGGAATGGTTCATAGTCGGGCCACCGACCACCGTCTCACCGTCACTGATCTCGCTGCGTGCTGGCATGATGTAGCTCATGGAAGTAGGATGAGAGTAGCGTGAGACAGGCGCGTGTATGAAGAGCTAGATAGGGGTGGGATGAAGGATGAGATATGAATAGGTTGTCGCACGCTAACAGTGCGACGTTTTATAGCACTGTCCCCAATACAACGTCGGCGTCGGAGTGTGCGGAAGGACTCGGAGGAAACGCATCGCCTCGACAAGGTCCCGAGGACAACAGAGTTGCGCGCATTGACCCTTCACAAGGTACCCGTACTCAGCCCGTACCGCTAGGCACAAATGCGATTGGCGAGATGGGCGCCATTTCCTCCAAGTGCCACAGCTAGCGCTGAGCTATCGTCTGTGGGCCGGTGCAACGGCGCATTGGAGCGTTCGGACACGTAGAAGTGACCGTGCTGAATGCGTAGGTTCGAAGCTCCCGGGCTTTTCGTCCCGTGGCGAGTGGTAGGCGCCTTGCCATCGAGGGAGTTTTCATTCAGAAGGCTGTGCGTGGGCCAAGTGACAGATGCTCGGGGTCATCCTTTATCAGCAATCAATGCAGTGAGCGAGCTGTCCTGTGACCCCATTTCAGAGCCGCCAAGCGCTATGTTTATACGGTTCGAGCACAGGAAAAATCAGGGTTTATCTAGAACGTCGTGGTTGGAGGGAAGCAGCGCGCGACGCATCATCGTCTGCAGGGTCGGGCAACGGTCCGGACCTCCGTCGAACAGCCGCGCGATTCGCGAAGCTATCCTTGAGCTATCCTTATCTGGCTTCTGTCCTTCTCGAGCCAGTACATATACATAGCCATCGGCACAAAGTATCTGACTGGAATGTCCCAGGCTTGTAAGAGACCAACGTGTCTAATCGAACAGCTCTGAGACATATAGACGTATCCTAGGAAGGAACATATTCGTGCAGTGCATAGCGGTCATGGGTGTAAGTGCGTTTTTAGCTAAGTGTGTGAAGGAGGCTACAGATATGGTACAAGAGCCAATGACTAGACCAGAGAAAGGTCTACACCGTAAGATGTGGACGGAGATAACAAAGCGAAGACAGGGGACTCGTGATGCCAAACGAAAAGTACGATGAGGACAAACAAAGCGATGAACGAAAGCGAGTCCAAGGTGCAATGGGGCAACTACAGAAACCTAAGGAGGCATGATGCCACAGTCATGGGTGTGGGGGAAAGCGGCGCACAGCGCCGGGCTCTTCAGCCCCTGCCGAAAATAAGCTTGCCGACCTTGCCGCCGGCTGGACTGTTCTTGTCCATCTCGACGCCAACAAGATGTGTCTTGGAATGCAGCCAGTCAACACGGCGGACGCCGCCCTCCCATCCGCCGCCCATGCGGGTGCAACGCTTCTCGTATGCAGCCGCGACCTTACGCTGGGCTTTGGAGCCGGCGCCTAACCCAGCCCACTCTTCGGGCGTAATACGTGTCATAAGCGTGGTATGCACGGCATACAGTACGTCCAAGTTCGTTAGCGCTGCGGAGCTCTTCGGCGTTCTCGACTTGCTGTTCCCGCCCAGGGTGAAGATTGGTGCGCTGGCAACTGGCCCTACTACGACGAGCCATGGGAACTTCTCAGAACGAAGCACAAGGCGCGAGTTCGCCGGGATCGGCGGTTCCGTCGCCGGTTGCGCAAGTGTCACGGCTGGCACTGGTGCGTGCATCGTGCGATCAAGAACAGACCGCGCTGACGGTGTAAACGCGACGTCGAAGGATAGGGGCGCAGGGTGCCGGCGCGCATATGCCAGAAGCGGGTGCATGTTCAATTGCGGCTCGCGTTGACGCGAGCGTGAAGGGACTGCAGTAGGCAATGAGGCTCAGAGAAGGTTCGCATATGAACGTGAAGTACGCTAACTCACAGGCCGAGGCCGCGCTCCCGGTGGAATCCACGCTGTTGGGCCATGTATGGTTCTGCTTAAGCTGAGGCCGTCCCCGTTCGCTGGACGATCTTGCGCTAGCGCTGCCGTGCGAGCTTGGTGCCAGCGGGGAGGGTGCGTAGTGATGACTGCCAGCAACTGAACCGGGATATAGTGAAGAAGTTGAGTTGGTGCGCGAGCTGGACGATGTAGCGTATCCTGAACCTATGTGCGCAGGATAACGACCTAAACGCGTGTCAGATCACAATAGTCTGAGTAGGACGTCAAATACACGCACCATCATGCGGGTTACGACTTGAGCTGCGACTTGAGCGATAGATCGGACGCGACGGCGTCTGTGAGCGATCCTGATCGAGAGAGCGCCGCGAGTGATCCACGCGGAGAGGTGAGGGCTTCATGGCGGGGTTATCCGAGTAGCTGTTAGCACGGCGAGGCTTCGAAGGTGCTACGGGTTTCTTCGCCGATGCGCCCACAGGCATGGTGGCGTATATAGCGGTCGGGACGCCAGAGGAATGGGTGCGTCCGTGTGACTTAGATAGCTTCGAATGCTGAGGCTGACCCTGCTTTGGGCCAGGCGTGGAATTGGAGCGGGAGCGTCCAGAGTTGCTGCCAAAGAGGCTGCGAAGGTAGTTGGCCATCATGGTCGAGATGTGAACGATGTGGGGTCGTGAGCGGAGTCGTCAGAGTATGGTACAGTGATTGCGTGCGGGCGTTACAGGCTGGAGCGGGAGATGCAAGGTCGTCCAATTGATGATGGACACAAAGCAGACCCGCGAAGGAGCTCTGAGAGCTTTATACATGCGCGTCCACACGATATGAGGAACGAGGGTATCTCCACGCGTTCTAGACGGTCTCTTTGGTGCGAAAGTCGCGCTTGTCGTAAACACGTAGTAGGAAGGGCGTTCCCGGACAGCCATGGCGCCGATCGCCCCCGCAAAAGGACCTCGCGGACTGGCTGGCTGATCCAGCTTTCTGGTGGTCGTTCTGCAACGAGGCAGGGGTCCAGACCCACGCTCGCTTAGCTGAACATGTCCGCAATGTCCGGCAAGCTGTCGGCCAACGGCCGCGGGTGTGTTTACTGATGAACAGAAGAGCATCGCGGAAAGTACGAGGCCCAGTATTGTACGTGGATCGTCGAGATGTCCCGCCCTGTTGTGCACGCCAGGGAGCGTGAGGTAAATATTGCGTATATCATCTGAGATGGAGGGCGGGATGTGCCGGGCGCTTTTGCGGGGCCTCGTTGCACGCGGAGGCAACGTGTTGTCGGCGTGGTAGACGGCGCTAGCTGCGCGCCACAGCCGAATCTGCACTAGACCGCCGCCGCCCGACGCGCGCCCTGCCCCAAACTAGTCTTGACTGCGCCTGACGCACTTGACCGAACCCCACAAGCCGTTCATCATGCTAGGCACGGGTTGCAGCGGCTTCAATCTTGCGACGAAATCCATATTGAAGACAAGCAAACTCTGGAGTAATCTGCCAGAGCGTTAGAGATGATTTGCAAGAAGCCAGGTGCACGTACCTGGTTGGGGTATATACGTCCAGCGGAGAAACCATCACAGGAGAAGCTGATGCTGGCACCGTGGTACACCAGTTCTCGAACGTTGCGCGAACAAAGAAGCCAGGAAGAATGTTCCGTCTGGAACACGTGTCATTCCCAGCAGAAATCCAGTCCCATTCAAGCACAGGATCGTCCAACCAGAAGTGAATACGGAAAGTAGGAGTCGAGCGAGATGAAGGGGCACCAGTTGCAGAACAGCAAATGCAGGCCCAAGATGGCTTAGAGCCGCGCCCGAAAACGCCAGGTGTTCCTACATCGCCAGGTTTGAGCTTGCCAAAAGGAACTAGGATGTTTTCATGAGAAGGCGCGTCCTTCGCCGGTGGTGGGCGGGCAGACAGAGGTAATTAACCGTCTCCTTACAAATAATCTTGCGTTGACAGGGCGGGGATGTTCGCAGTCTGGACCGACGAGCTCACACAACTTCGACGTCGCCGCGTCGGCAACGTGCGGATAGTGCGGTACCCGAAGATGACGGCCGCCGCAGAGATGTTTGGGAAGTCGACCGACGCTCTCAGAGTAGCCATCTAACGTCTGTCAAGTAGATCCTTTGCAGTTCGAGACCAGCACATTCTGACACATGGGTGAGAGTGAGCCCGCACGAGACGATGCTATGAGAACACACCTCGAAAGATGGACCTCCCGCGCGGTCCGACAACTTTGGGGCAGTCTACTCTCAGTATGCCTATACCATGAGCGTAACTGGATGCGCCATCAACGACAGTGGTCTCGGCCGTCGAACTTGCGCTGGAAGTGATCTACAGGGGTAACAGTTGAGGGCACGCTGCGTTCAAGGGTGCTGTTGGGTGCGAGAGTTGGCAAGATACTGCTAGCGTCGGACGGAAGGCGTGTCTGAGTACGTTTGCTGGAGATTGGGGTACAACAGTTGACAATGGCACCGCGAATAGCAGGCAGATGACGACTGGTCGCCATCTTGCACGTTCGGGTACCGGAAATATAGCGGCTCCGTAGCGTATACCTCTTGAGGGCTGCTAGCGATGTAGGTGAGATGATTGCAGGTGTTCAGGCCGGTCTGAAGTTTGAGCCAAATAATGATTGCCGCCCAGAGCTTGACCCTACTACCCGAACACGAGAATCTGTTGCTGTGCGCCAGGCACCTACGCGCCTAGGCCATTCTATCCTGCCGGCTGTGTATATGGTATGGAGACCTGTAAACAAGCCAAAGAAGCCCGTCAGTTCAGATTCACCACATTCACATAAGCCTAGAACTCCTACAATAGCGTCGAGCGTCGTATCGGGTCGCAGGTGTAGCAGAAGATGTTTCGCTGGCGATCACCTCCTGAAAAATGTGGGAGCAACCCAGAGCTTTGTGAGCGTTGAAGTATTGGATCCTGTCCAGTGATAGACGGAGGCGGAGGCGGAGACACTGATGTCATTCATACACCAATCGAGTGCTGTAGCTCCGGCAGCCACGAAGTAGATTAAGCCCCCAACGTGAATCGCTTCGGCATCGACCACTGCTCAAGATGTCGCATCTCTTAAGCACATAAGTGCACACCGATGTCGAGATCGTAGCCTCGATCTCCGCCGCGTATATGCATCCGCTAGATCCTACATACTCCGCCTGCACGCTTTTCCCCCATCTCGCCCCATCGCGTGTTGAGTGGCCTATCCGCTGAATGCACTTCCACATGCCATCACGCTGGTCGTTGTTGTCATGATGACCACTCGGTCAAAGGGGATCGTTCAACAAGTCGATAGCTGAGGTGACCGGATGTCTAACCCGTTCGTGCGCTACGATCTCGAAAAGATGACAGGGAGTTGGCCATATGCGTACAAGCAGGGCGGATGATTGTGTCGCTGGGGGACTTCGAGTAGGGTAAGGGAGACCAGTAGTTGCAGCAGCGAGCCATCGTCGTCATCGACAACTTCGTACTTCAAAATCTCCGGCTCGCGGCTCGCGGGCCGCGTTGAGCGGGCGCGCTGTGCGGCGGTCCCGTCATAGTTGCCCTAGGCACTCTACTCATTTAAGCAGTCGAGTCGATCCCACTCATTAGCATAACACACGTCCCTCTAGGCATACGGCGTCGTGGCGCAAAATCTTCCGCGCCGACCTGCATCATGAACTCGTCGCGGTCACGTTCAAGTTCAAATTCTTTGGATTCGCTTCGCGCTCATGCGCTCAGTGTGCTCACGGTCGGCTGTTGACTCTCAACCACCATCGCGGTGTCCTCATACATTGGCGCTACATTCATCAACTCTGCTATCTTGCAGCACAGTCCTTCTGGAGGCCATTCACCAGGCAGAAAGATTTCTCCCGCTCGTAGCAGCTGGTTCTCGATCCGTGATACCCACTGCCCCGGGCCGTGCTCCCGACCACTGTGCAGCACCTTCTGACCACCGAAGAGCTTATATTAGCTTTCCATAATGACGTTCTTCTGGGTTTGAACGCTCCTGATCTCCGTCAGATGCGGGCCCTTGCAGCTACTGGTCTGCGGGGAACCCAAATGCCGAGGTTCTTCCAGCTCATGTACAGGTCACAGGATCTTGTTCGAGTATTTCGGATCTGCAGTTGGCGTCAGGCATATCGGTTTGGCCTGGATATATAGGCCACTCTACGCAGAGAACGCGAAGCCCGGACGCCCGACCTAGGTCGCAACCGCCAACATTTCGCCATGGCTCGCCTAAGGCACACGACGCTGCTTGTCGCGGTGTTCACCGCTGCGACGCGCGTAGCAGCAATTGGCCAGAGCCGTTGTGTCTCCTTCTCATCTTCGAACGAGTCAGACTTCACCATTGCCTCCGGTGGCTCTGCAGCAACTATCTTGCTGTCTGCCGACGAATGGCCTGGCGTACAACGAGCGGCGTCGGATTTTGCGGCGGATATCTTCGCTGTAACGGGCGCGCAACCAACTCTCGCCAACGCGACGGCATCCGCGAAGAACGTTTCTGCGGATTCTGTCATCATCGTTGGCACGCTTGGAAAGAGCAGTCTCATCGACGCCGTCGTCAACAACACAGGTCTCGACGTTTCTGGCGTTGACGGTCAATGGGAAGCCTTCATGAGCGCAGTTGTCCAAGACCCGCTTCCCGGTGTCAGCAAAGCGTATGTTTTGGTCGGTGCCGACAAGCGCGGCACGATCTTTGCGTTGTATGACCATAGCGAGCAGTTTGGTGAGTCTGTGTAAACGTTTGATATGGAGGGCCGTGGCTCATACGTTGTTAGGTGTATCGCCATGGTATTGGTGGGCGGATGTACCAACAACTGAGCACGACGCACTCCATGTCACGGCGAGCGGCTGCTCGCACGGAAGTCCGACTGTCAAGTACCGCGGCATCTTCCTCAACGACGAGCAACCCGCTTTGCAAAACTGGGCGCAAGAGAAGTTCACGAATGGCACGGGGGCGGCGCTCACCGGAAGCCCGTTCAATCACCTGTTCTACACGAAGTTGTACGTCGCAAACTGCTCCTCGGATGACTGAAGGTCTCACCGTTGGGCAGGTACGAGTTACTCCTTCGTATGAAGGGGAACTTCCTCTGGCCGGCACAGTGGAGCAGCGCGTTCGGCATAGACGACGAGCTGAACCAGTTCTATGCGGATGAGTACGGCATTGTAATGGGCACAAGGTACCTCTTCTCAACTTCCCTTCAACCTGTGGCGCGAAGGCTGACCAGCCCTTAGTCATGAGGAACCAATGATGCGTAGTGTGCGTGTTTACAACGCCCATGGCGTTTATGTGGCTAACCCTTGAACGTGTAGATCCCTGTTGAGTGGAATCTGTTCGGCAACGGCACCGCGTGGGATTACAGTACGAATAAGGAAGCCATCTATCCTTTCTGGGTAGAGGGTGCTGAGCGCTCGCGGCTCTATGAAAGCTTGTATACTGTGGGCATGCGTGGGAACGGTGACCGTACGTCTAAGCTATTCGGGGCTCACCTGATGCTTGGGAACTGACTGCCAGCTTCACAGTGCCTGGCGCGAACACGAACATCCAGCTGCTTGAGGAGATTGTTTCGGACCAGCGAACCATCATCTCGAACGTCTACAACATCAGCGACGTAACAACAATCCCACAAGCATGGTGCCTCTGTAAGTCAGATGTTACCCAGTGGTTTCGCGTGGTAAGCTGATAGCTGGACCGCAGACAAGGAAGTACAAGGCTACTATGAAGAGGGACTCCAGGTTCCAGACGACGTGACTCTGCTCTGGACCGACGACAAGTACGTGTACCGCGTTTACGATGTATCTCTACTCATGAACGTCACGCAGCTGGGGCAACATTCGCCGCTATCCTATTCAGTCTGAACGTAACCGGACTGGTGGGGCCGGCGTCTACTACCATGTGAGCGGCAATCTCCCTTGCTTTTGATCGCGGCTTGTGCTGACGGGCATCATCTCCCAGTTCGACTATGTTGGAGATCCTAGGTGAGCTGCTGATACGCCCACATATACGGTGTGCACTGCGCAAGTCACTGACGCGGATCGAAGGAACTACAAGTGGATTCAGAGCACGCAGCTCTCCAAGGTAAAGTGGCACGTCTCCAGGTTGACCGTCGACTGACGGCGAAATGTCAGGTCTTCGAGCAAATGTCTCTCGCCGTGGATCGGGAGGCTACCCAGATCTGGATTGTAAACGTTGGTGATATGAAACCACTCGAGATGGACATTGGTACGCCTCGCCACATCGACACCACTTTCTTCGCATTCTCATCGCGTTCTCAGAATTCTTCCTCACTTATGGCTGGAACTCTTCCCTATGGACGCCGACTAACATCGACGACTTCGTTCACGAATGGGCCGCACGCGAGTTTGACTTATCTAACGACCAAGCGACAGAAGTCGTGGGCATCGTGGGCAACATGACGCGCTATCTGGCGCGCGTAAAGCCCGAGCTCTTGAGTGCGACCACATTCAGTACCTACAACTATCGCGAGTACGTGTCACATGCACCTAGGCCGATTAAGTCCGACGCTCACGGTACCATCTCTTTAGGGCAGAGACTGTCCTTGCTCAGTGGCAGGCCCTCAACGCTTCGTCCACGAAGATCTACAACACTCTCTCCGACTCTATGAAACCCGCGTTCTTCCAGCTCGTACATCACCCTGTACAAGCGGGTGCGACGTTGACGGCCATGTGGGTCAGCGCAGGTATCAATAACCTTCGGACCCTGCAAGGACGTCTCAGCGCGAACGACTACGCGGAGAAGACGCTTGACTTTTTTGAGCGTGACTATGACCTCGAGCTGGAGTACCACACTATGCTCGACGGCAAGTGGGACCAGTACGTACCGCAACGTCCCTTTCTATTGAACCTCAGCCTGATCTCCCACCGCAGGATGATGTCCCAAACGCACACATAGTAAGCTGGCACGTTAACATTACCACTCTTCCTGAACTCACCTCTCTTGAAGCTACTACTACTGGCAAGAGCCTTCCCAAAACACGTACGTCAAAGCAGCTACGTTTACACAGGAACGATTCTGATCATCTATGCAGAATGCCTTTCGTCTCGCGGGTGTCTTCTCGCAAGGAGAACATTGTCGGCCCCATGCGCGTTCTCCTGGAGAACACCAATGGCTCCTGGTGAATATCGCGCGTGTCTTTACTACGTAATAAGGTGCTTATGCAGCATAGGCCCGGAGATGAACAATACAACTGCGCTCAAGGCTACTCGTGCCCAACACCAACGCTTACCCTCGATCGCTTCTCGCCCTTTGACAGCCGCTACATCGACATCGGCCTCGGTGGCCCAACGCCATTCAAGTTCTCGGCCTCTTCGAACGTATCTTGGCTTAACTTCTCTTCAACGGGTGGCTCGCTTGACCCTTCGAACCCTGAGAAGCGGATCTTCCTAACCGTCGACTGGGATGCTGTCGAAGGTGCGCAGACGGCAGAGATCCTGTTCAACGCTACTGCAAATGGATTCGTCAAGAAGAGCAGCGTGCCCGTTCTCTTCGTCGCAAACCACACTACCGCCCCAGACAATTTCACTGGTCAGTACTTCCTTATGTGCTACTTAACATGCTGAGAAGAAGTAGGTTTCGTCGAGGGAGACGGTGCAATTGCATTCGAAGCTGCGCACGCAACTCGTAACACGTCGGTCGGGGAAGTCTCTTGGATTGAGATCCCCAACTATGGCCGTACCCTTTCGGGAGTGACCCCATGGCCTCGTCTCGGAAACAACGAACAGAACTACACTGCTGGCTCCGGCCCTAGTCTGTACGTCTCTCTTATTCTATAAGCCCACTTACTGTGTACTCACTACTTTTTGGCAGGGAGTATGACTTCGTAAACTTCAACACCGTTGACGGCAACGGTACCGTCGGAGTGACCGTATTCGTTTCACCTTCCTTGAACGCGAACGGCGACGATCGCCCGCTCGGCATCGGCGTACAGGTCGACGACGACGAGCCACAGACGACATACTTCATCCCTTCTGCTGCTCCCGGTCAGGAACCTGACGCATGGAACGACTTCGTCGCGAACAGCATCGTGCCTGTTGTCGGGAACTTCACGGCGTGGCCTGGAGCTCATACGCTTAAAGTATGGATGATTGAGCCAGCAGTTGTCGTTCAGAGAGTAGTGATTGGTACGTTCTTCTCCAGCTCGCCTAGCCCCGGTACTGATCAGTTTCCATAGACTGCGGAGGGCTGCTCGATAGCTTCTTGGGGCCACCGGAGAGCGTATTGGTATGAAGGAATTGTGGTCGCGTATGATATGCACTGTCTGCTAGTAGTTCTTTATCTTCTATATACTTTATCTGGTTATGAGCCGTCTTAATCGGCGCCGTTACAACCCCACGGTCTGGCCACAGCCTGCCATACACAATCGGGACCTACAAGGACCCACTTCGCGGTCACGTTACAATGTAGCGTCGGTTCAGATCGGTTCTCGCGGCAAACTCGTCGCGTTCATCCCGACCTCCACACCGCCTTGTCTCCGGCCCCCTAGTCTCAGCTCTCCATCGCACACTGCCTCTATCTCCCCAACATCTCTGGATAGCTGCACTTTGGATACGATGGCTACGTCGGGCGGTGTACTGCTCTTGAGCGCCGACGAACAACGCAAGCTTCAACGCGATAAGGCTGAACTCACACGCCGGAACCGCATCCTCCAGGAGCGCTTGAAGTCAGAGAAAGCGAAGCTGGAGGCTGATCGCGATACGGAACTGAGGAGGGTGGTGCGCATTGAACGTGAGGTCTCTCAGGCGCAGCTAGAGGAAGCCCGGAGTGATGCTGCGCGGAGAGCGGACGAGGATAGACGGACAATAGAGGAGCTCAAGACCGTGCGTGATGTCCCTTCGAATCTTAATATATCATAGCTCTCTCAAGCGTATCATCAGAACCTTGACCAAGAGAAACTGGCGCGTCAGCAAGTGGATAGTGACAAAGATCAATTACGAGAGGAATTGGAGCGGCTCCAGGGTGGAGATACAAGCGAGGATGTTCGGGTACGGACGCTGCAAGAGAAGTTGAAAACCCTGCGCAAAGATATGGATGGTGTAAAGGCTGGTGCGTAGTCTACCCCACTTGGATGACGACACCTCTCAACCTCATTCTCTATCGTTCTAGCTCTGCACATGTACACTACTTGGGCAAATGGTAAGCATATTCACTTGTTCGATCCCGGGCACATTCTCAATATTTACTCATAACACTCTTCTCAGAGTTCATTCATGATCATGTTCGCAATATACCAGCCCTGAAATTGCCAGCATCCGTGACACGTCCGTTTGCGGACTATCTCAACTATGATAAACTTGACTGCGGCTCGGACTTCGCGTACGAAACGTGTTGGAGAGGGGGATCGATCGGCATTGATACTATCAACGGAAATCGAGCGACTAAGCACTGTCCGCAAGGTCTTGTGTTGGGGCGTTTGGAACATAGCCCGGGATTTCCCCTCTTACCTGGGCAGCCCGGTACTATCATTGTTCACGACACGCAAGTCGATACGTTGTACGACGAAATCCTGGACCTTGGTGTACTGTGGCCCACAACTAAACGCCCTCAATGTCGGGGCGAGTTGCGTTGGCGGTATCTTGGGCGATATACTGCGGAGTCCGAGTGGAAAGCGCTCCCCAAGGAGGACTGGGCAAACTTGCCTCGTGCAGTAAGAGACTGAAGCTTGCTTTAACTTGTTACGGCAGCTGATAGTGTGACCTACATAGGTTCGCCAAACCTGGTGCCGATTCCTAAAAAATCCGGCAGAAGAGCGTCGCAGGCTGGGAAGTAACTGGTACGACTGGTCGATTGCAGCTCGTATCAGTCTACGCAAAGCGGCCCTCCCTCACTCTGATCCCGCATATGTCAAACAGATCGCCCGTGAGATCTGTGACTACACCTGGGCGAAAGCGCGCGGGTGCCATGGCAGTGAGCTCCCGTCGTTGAGCTTCCCGTACCAGCTTACACACCAAGACATTGATGATGCTTTGTGTAAGGGTGAAGAGGTGAGTAACGGTGTAGATGCTTGCTATCCGTACGGACTGAAAGTCTTTTATGAGGTCCTGTATATTCGTACCCTGCGGCCGATAGGGTTCGACTCGAGATTATTTCAAGAGCTTCGGGAATTAGAGAGGCGCCCCGATTTGGATTTGGATTGGGAGTAAGGTTCACATATCATCGGTCCTTCTGAGAGTATTCGGTACTTATGACGTACACTATTGAATATTTAGTACGGCAGGAGGAGACTGCCCCTTCCACCTGTGGTTAGCCTCTAGGACTTATTGCGCGACAAGAGTCCGTATGCTCGTCTTGGCGTGAGAGTTGAATTACTATCAATTTTTCTAACAGCACAAGAGCTGTTGGTTAGAGAACCGTATAGAACACTTCAAGCTTTACACGAGCCATTGATCGCTTTGAAGCGGTCACGACCCCGCGTCTTGTGAACACTCACGCACAGGTTCTCATCCTCACCTTGCGTGCGTCTCTGAACTGATAGCCTATATGCGCCCTACGAGCCATCTCAACTTGTAAGGGACAATGATACAAATGCGTTTGTAGCAACGATGATTTTTCTGCACGATGGAAAACGGGTTTTCGGGTAGATGAACATGATTGGGCGCCTGGAGATGTAGAGTGGATCGAGGTCGATGTGGTATTATAGAATATGTAAGAACGATGGCGTCTTGAGAGAGAGACAGGGAGGAAGACGAAGCAAAGGTTACACGCGGGTGAGAGGTAGAAGAACGGAACGGGTAGCGATGACATGGTAGGACACTGGATAGAGTAGAACCGAACTAGGCGAATTGTCGTATATACACGCAATTCCGGAAACAGATGCAATCGTCCTAGAGAGACATTGCATCGCAGAACCGAGTCAAAGCGTATGTCGGGATCGTTCATCTTCCCATCATACATCAGCCAGTCCAACCCTCAACACCCACAGGGTCCCCCTCCCCGTTCCATCCACACCGGCATGATGCACCCAAGCACCCCACCAGCTCCTCCTCCCTTCAAGCGCATCACACACTCTCAGCACCTCCCCGCTGTACCTCAGCCTGTCCACGCCAGTCCCGCCCCTCTCCTGTTGAACGCGAGCGTGATAATGCGCGCAAATCCTATCGTATCGTGCCGGTTCGTTCGCTCGGATTGCGTGTATTTCGGCAGAGTCTACTGGACTGCGCGCCCATTCGTGCAAAGTTTCGAGTAATCGACCGATTGTCACTTCTCCACCGTTATCCGCTCCGACGTCAAACTCATCGACGATACAGTCGTCGCGATTTCCACCATTGACGACCTGGACCGCCACCCTCCCTATCTTCCCTCGTCCACTCTCGCTAACTCCTCTCGCAACAGGGCCGTCCCAGATCTCTCCGGCACTTCTGGCCCTTACGAGTGTGCCCCTACTAGTGAGGCGCATAGCGCTCGTCGTGGGCTCGCTCGCGACGTCCCATCGTAACGCGGGATTGTTGACGTCGTTCGGGTTGGGTACGAGCCAAGGCGCTAGGACGATCTCGCCGCTCTGCACCACACCTTGCGCCTTCAACCTCCTGACCTCCTCCGAGCTTGGCGGCCAGTTCACGCCTTGACTCCCAGCCCATATATTCGACCCAGGCGCAGGATACCCCACTTCGGCTTGTAAAATCTGAGCAGCCGTCATGTGTCCTCCCATCGCTACACCCGCGCCCATCGCAGCGGGTGTACCGATATACGACGAATGAGCGGATATCGCTCCCGGCGTCGATGTACCAAATGCAGGGTACCCGAGCGGCATACTGAGTGGAAGCAGAGACGCATGTTCTTGGTACGAGCTTGACGGAGTCGGTATACCGGAATGAGAGCGCCGTCGAGAGCGCGAAGGCGCGCGTGTAGCAGGAAGGGGCGTGTACGCCGTTGCCGTCGTGGCAGGTGTACTCGCGTGCGCAGTCGCCGGAGTCATTGTGGGTGGCGGGCTGGGCGGCCAAAACGCTGCGTTGGCCGTACCAGGCCGGCTTGGATGAATCGGCGTTACAGGCTCGGAACGAGGCTGCGTTGACGGCGTGACGAGTGTGCGCGGGGTGTACATTTGCGGAGGCGGGACGTGTGAGGCTACTAGCGGAGGCATGTCGTCGTACGATAGCGGCGGGATGGGTTCTCGATATGGCGAACGCGAAACGCGGTGTACAGCCGGTGTAGGAGCGTAGTTGTATGCGGGGTTGATAGGCGAAGGTATGTATGGCGCTGATGTATGCTCATACCCGTACCCGTCGCGAGGCGGAGAGGGTATATAGCCGATCGCGGGTGTAGGTGGTGAAGGGACGTAGCCGGCATGCGGTATAGGCGGGTGTGCATAGGTTGATTGTTGGAAGTATGGGTCTTGCAACGCATACGGGTCCGAAAGAGGGGGTGGATGTTGTGCATGGTAGGCGGGAACTGGTGCGGGCGGAGGAAGTGCTGGTCTGTGTCGGTCATACGACGCCGGCGCAGCTGCGGGAAGATATTGATGCGCGGGCCCATGATAGGCGTGAGTACCAGGCGCCATCCTATGCGACGGGTGTCCAGTCGAAGTATGTGCGGGCGTGAGTCGACGGCCTGTCACGGTGGGGTCTGGATAAGGGTAGTGCGTAGGATACATCGGATCCGCCCCCACGAACGGCGGCGGTGGGCGAAGGTCGTATTGCGTTGCCATCAGCGTGTTGCGCCGCTTTGAGCGTCTACGGCGTGGGAGAGATTGCGATGCAGAAGGAGTTTGATGGAAGAAGTCTTGGGCGCGCTCAGGGTCGATGATGCGCTCAGCCTCAGCGCCACGTTGTGGCGAACGAGTCTGACTGCGCGCTCGACGCGTTGTGAGTCTGCGTAACAGGCTTCGACTCCTTCCTGGCGGCTGTGCAGACCCCTCAGGCGGAGGAGCAAAGAACGGGCGGATATGCGTAGAAGCCAGAACGTAAATCGGTGCTGGGGACGTGCAGCGATTTAGTTAGCTGAGGGGAGCATGATATGGAGCGTCAAGCAAAGCAAGAGTAGGGCGCTAACCAGGCGATAAGAAAGCTTTGATGTTATACAGGAGAACTGCGCCATTCTCAGTTGAGCGGGAGACAATGTCAAGTCGCGAGACGGGACTTACAAGGGTACGAGCGCGATTATAGCACAGGGCTAAGTATACCGTGTTTCTTTGCCAGATTAAACTCGCTCCAGGGTATTTAACACCGACGTGTCCTATAAGTCGGGGCCGTTGTACAAGAACACCCTTGATGCTATGGGAGTGGAGGAGGGTGGTAGGGAAGAGGGTAGCATCGCGTCGGAGCACATTCGTGACTCTTGAGGGGTGGTTGGCGTTCGCAACAATGACCCTTCAGGCTAAGTCGTTTCTCAGTGCTTGTATTTGTCCACGGGATGCATTATTGTATGCGTCGGGCGCAGGTCGGGCGCTGCACCGCCCGCATCGACTGAGAGAGATGTCGTCTTTTGAGCCCGCGCATCCTCACGCATCTTGGCCCTCACCCATTCACTACACCCACGAGCTCGGATTCTGTTCCATCCCCTCCCGTCGCAGTTGATACGTCCGTACTTCGCGCAGAACCTCGGCTCAACCCTCCATAGAAAGTTGGAGTTCCGCTCGTTTCATCTTGAATCCTATATCTGCTGAAGAGCGATGGCTATACTGTGCGAGAAGCTGGTGGGAGAAACAGATGGTGGAGGATCGCGTTGTGAGCGGACGAGCCGGTCCTGGGAGGATCTCGGCTCTCGGGCCGCATTCGTGGGAAGAGAGGCGTGATCGCGTTGTGGGTCGTTATAGGTCCAGCGCATATATTCAGTTGCCTTTTCTTCGCACAGAGACATGGAGGAAGAAATGGAGGAAGAAATGAATAGTGGGAGTCAATGCAACTTGGCGGAGGGGCGGAGGTGCGCACGAAGTTGGAGGGGCAGGTACTGAAGGATATGTCGGCGCGACCGTCGCAGGAGCGGTGCACGCGCGCGGAACAAACTTGAACGTTGACGACCACCACGTCTACTTACCATCCCGCACCTCTGCTACAAACTCATCTCTCAATATCAGCCCGTTTAATATACTGACGGCATGAGCTCTGTGGCGCGGGGAAAACGCAAAGCGCCAGACGATTGCCAAGAGTGCTGGAAGCTTCGTCGCGACAAAGCCCAGTTGGAACATCGCAACAACATTCTCGCAAAGCAGAAAGACAGCATCATCTCCCAGAATGAGAAGGAATCCCTCGATATTATGTGGAAGGAACGCGAGGTTTCTCGGCTACAGCTGGAGGTCGCGCAGAGAGGTGCCGCTCAGACGATATCCGAGAAGCAGGAGAGGATAGATCATCTGACGGCCGTGCGTAGTGTTTTCCACCTACTCGCTACCCATTTTTCTGACCGATAACTACTTCAGGTATCAGAAGCTGAGAGGGAGGAGTTGGAGCGCCTGCGGGTGACAGTGACGAGCCTTGAGTCTCAGAAAGAGGCTCTCCAGAAGCAAGTAAAGGTCTCAAAGACACGGATATCCAATTTTGAAGCTGGTGCGTCTATCATGAACTCCGACATGCCCAGATTCCGAGCATAACAAACTGCTTTTTCCCATCATGTAGAATGTCAAACCCACGTCGTCTCAGCAGAGGGTAGGCACATCTCGTTCATTTCATATGACTTTGACAGCCAACTTACAAGTGGTCTCTTCATAGCTATCCTTTCCCGACGTGTTGATCGAAGTCGAGCTCTGAAGCTTCCTGCGGAAGTGATGCGCCCATCTATCAAATACTTGCGTCTGAATAACTTGAATGAGGATTCTTCTGATGCATATCAAGCATGCTGGGAACTAGGCTACTTTGAGGTTGACTCTGACGAGAAGATCCCTGATCATGGCCCGTTATCCGTGCTCACACTTGGGCGCTCAGATCATAGTCCGGGCTTTCCGTCTTTACCTGGTCAACCCGGTACCATCATCACACACGACATATTTGCACGTGGGCGCACGGAAAAGGGTCCATTCACTCTCGGTATTATCTCTCCAGATCTTTCATTGAAAGAGAGAGATCGCGACGTGCGGTGGCGTTATCTCGGCGTCTATATGGCCGATTCGGCATGGGAGCCACTCACAAGACAGGAATGGATGAGCTTTTCTCTCTCCGTAAGTCCCTATGATTGCCTTTCTCAACGGCCTCTCATGTCCGCACAGGTCCGCCAGAACTGGTGCACTTACTTGGCAAACCCGAGTAAGAATATTGGCTGTGACTGGTGCGACTGGGTAACAGCAGCTCGTATCAGCCTTCGCAAAGCGAAACTCCCTTATGACGATCCCAAAGTCGCCGAGGCTCAGGCTATCGCGATGCGAGAATGGCATGTGAATGGGACGTCGCCCCCGGTGTCGTTAGGCCCACGCAAGATCACTAGACAGGAGGTGGACGATGCTTTGTGTATTAAGGGTGAAGAGGTAAGATCATATTATTATTCACTGCCCCTCAGGTTCACGTAACTGAAACCCTCTGTGAACAAGGTTCTGTATATTCGCAAGCTGGTTCCCGTCCGCTTCGATCTTGCGTTACATAGGAAGCTCCAGTCTTTAGAACAAGAAGCAACCGATACGGAGTCAGATAGCGATTCAGAGTAGTCACTTGCCCCGTGATAAGCCTGCCACGTAATTGGGCGGACCACTCAATGTGCTTCACCGCGTATATATGTCCTTTGTCTCTGTGTTTATCATAGTATTCTACAATAAGCAACTGAAGTAATCAGGTTATTGGATCTTGAGGCTAAAAGGATTCATCGCGGTTTATCCTAAACAGCACGCACAACCTGCCAAGAACTCCATCGTAGCACCGCCTCGTGCAATGTCAAGCCGCACCCGCCCGCGAATAGTGCATAGAGCTCGAGAACGCGCGCGTAGAATCTCCATTCTCGCTATCACCAGTTCAGTACAATGCTCGCGCGCGGCGCGAGCAACTGCACTCACGCATGTAGAGAGGAAGAGGGCATTGGGCTCTACGTAAGATGCAGAGCTCTATGAGTTGGCGAGCTACACCGCGAACGGCCGTGGTGGTTGGAACGAAGCGCCGCACGCGGAGGACGCGCTCGTGTCCCAGATCTGAGTCGAACGCCGCCACTTGTCTCTTCCTCCCTCCACATCCCGTGCACCCAGCGAATCAAGATGCATCTCCTTCAAGTTGCAACTTTTCCCTCGCTGCTCCGTGGCCAGCATATGCTCATCAACATACCGCGCCCGTGATGATCGCTCAGATTCCTGTCAAAAACGTCGCTTCTGCTCCCTTCGTCGCCCTGGGTCACTCCGGCTAACCATCTTCTCCTATGTCCCGTAACTGCTGGAATCTGGATCACTACCAAAATCTGTTCTGGGGCATGGGGGATGGCTGCTCTCAGCATCCATAGCATGCGAATGTGAGAGCCAATTTAGCCATGTACGTCCCGTCCTGTTCATCTGCATTTATCATCGTGTTGCATGCACTGTCTGAGCGCTTCTCGCACAGGCCTGAGCCCATTCTGGGCGCTTAGAACCAAGCATAAATAATGCCCACTGCCACCATCCCACGTCTCTTGACCGCATCGCCATCATGGTCATTCGCGACGATGAGAGTGCCTACGAGACGGAAATGCGGCCCAGCAACGGAGAGAACTATGCTAGCTTCATCGGCGACGCACACCAACTGCACAACGCCAGTAGCGATGTTGTAGGCGTGGAGCGCAGTGAGCAACTAGCAGAGCAGCCCTTCACCGTCACCGGTCAAGACACCTCGAGCCACTTCCGTGTTGGCGCTGTACTGTGAGATCCGCCCTTAGGGTTGCCTAGTCTAACCTACCGCATAGTCACGTGGATGTGGGGGCCTACGGGAAGGATGCGGGCGAGGGACAGGAAAAGTTGGATGGTTCGTGTACATCATGCTACCGTGTGGAAGTATCGTTGTACTGACATCGCTACCTCTGTCCAGCAGACTCCCAGAGCGTTCTCTCCAGTCAGAACGGAGCACACCTTGATCATGCGTATACGCACTCTAAGTCGACGTGGCGGTTCTATCGCCAGGGCAAGCTCGAGCCAGCGACTGAAATGAACAAGTTACCCGGGAGGCAAATTATCTGGACGAGCGTCTCACACTGCGCACAAGTAGGGAGTCTGTGGTCGGTGCGCGCGCGCATGGTCAGTGGTCAGTGTTACATCTATTTGTCTTGCGCCCGCGAACAGTGACTGATTCTTTTCACACAGCGGAACATTCCCGTCCATCAGCCGAGCGGCTGGTCGTGCATCATATCACGGATACGTCAAACGAAGGCAATGAGCTTGGTGGGCCAGATATGCTCGTGCACAAACACAGCCGTGCAAACACGTTCGCCTTATACCGCTTCTACGGGCTGCATTCGGGTCGCAATCAGGTCGCTCTTCCTTCTTCGAATACAGAACGGGGAGCCCTTCCTCCGAGCATGGGGATCCTGCTTGCGCCGAAGAGCGTGTTGACACGATTCACAAACACGCATAGTACGAGGCATCTTGAAGATCATGGCTTGCTGTCCGGGCCAAGCACGCCGTCTTCAAACCAACATGCACAGGACGATCGTCAAACGCCGTCCGGCGATGCTGCCGCGCCCATCGCTTCGAGCAACACGCCGCCTAGTTTGCCTCAGGCGCAGACCGCGATTGTGTCGATCACGAACTCACCGTCTGATGAACCCGGAGGCCAATCGAACCATCTGGATGGAGATGACTGTGCCGAAGAACATGATGAGGACCAGCGTCCTATCCGGCGAAAGGCACACGCAGAGGCATTTGGGACGCTTGACCAGCCTACGCTTGAACGCATTCGCCATGTTGACGCGCTCGAAGATCACAAATCGCGCGGCTTAGACGGGCTACTGCAACGCTTTCGTGGCGCGCCCGCATCCCGTACACAGGCCGATGGTACTGGCGCCGTGTTTGCGCGCCCTCCGTGGCCAACGCTTGCGCCGCGCGAACCTCGTCAATCTATGAAGACTCGCCTGATGCCTTGGAGGGAAGCGAGCGACACTGCAAGCGCCCACCGGCGAAAGCCCGCAGCAATTCTGGAGCAAGTGCCAGATGATGCGATGTGCATGCTATTCCCGCTTTGGCCCTCTGAAACGGACACCGGGAGCGAAAAGACGTTTTTCAACGAGCGCGCGCCAGAACCCCTCCTAGAGGAGCGTCTTTACCTACTGGTGTACTTTGTACCCGGCATCGAGAACAAGGAGAAGGCCGACGGCCGAGGTGCGATCAAGCATGCACCGCGTGGGAAGGGGCAAACGCGAGCACGAGCTTCCAGCTCGACCGTTCTGTTCGAGCGCTTCACGATTCTCGCTCGGATAGTGACCTACGATGACCTCCGAGGAAGCAACCTGCGCCTCCCAGTACACGGATCGAGCGTGACAGGTTCCCTCGCGGAGGCGCAACGCGATGTCCCGCTTGCATCATCGTCATGCGACGGTCTCAAGGACGACCACACGATTGCTATCTGCGCCGACGGGGAGAGTGGGTACGCTGAGCTCTTACCGGACCTGCTGGCGAGGCTGGGGTGGTGTGAGCGCGGTGTGAGCGATGAGCGCTGGGACTTCGCCGAGACGGAGGGAGAGGGTGGCCTCAAGTAGGAGCCGGATTCTGGACTCACGGGCGTTGGGCGTGCAGTAGTGGAGTTCATTTGGCTTGGGTGTATGGCTTTGACCAGCTTTGGGCCGTCATAATTGTATGTATATACTTCGCACGAGGATCTGTTGGCGCCCATTTCTTGATGCTCAGAAGCTCTTGTCCCAGAACTCGTCTATATCATACATGCGCTTTCTTAGTGAAACGTAACCGCATGACACGTAGGGTTTTGACCTATAATCAATGATATCTTCCAAGCATACTCCTTCATCACCGCAACACGAAGGAAGGACACCTGGCTAGACTGCAGAGAACCGGGATCGCACTGGTGTCACAAAGGTGCCACATAAACAGGACTTTGCTGAAGAACCCGCATACCGTCAGAGAAAGCGGGAGCATAAAAGCTGTATGTACATTTCTCTCAAGGTGCTTTGCTGAGCGCAAAGGTAATGGTCGCCCTCCCTGATATGTCTCCGACAGCCACGAAACCCGTTATGGGTGCCCCACAGAGGAAGTCTTCGCGTCTGAGTGCGTCAAGTTCTGGGGTCTGGTTCGACTTCACACGTTGGACGTATGTCGACCTCACGAGCTTGCGCTCTGCCTCCGACAGAGTGTCCAGATCGTCGCGGGTAGCGACCATACGGCGGAACCGTTGTGCTGCTGCCCACACATCATGAATCGTGACATGCATATCGGTTCCCGCGGGTGAGATGCACATGGGCGGAAATGGTCGAGGGAGTTGAAGTATGAGCATGAGCCTCGTCGGCTGCGTCGCTGGCTTTCCGGGAGCGACCTGCTTGCCATGATGCGCCGAAGGTTCTAGTTCAGGTGCCAATGTAAACGTCGGCGGCATAATGCCTCGACGCCGGCGTGCGGCCTCGTCGAACAGCGATACTGAATCACGTGTGGGTCCTCCGCGATTATGGTACTGCGGCTAGACTTACCTCTAGAGTGTCTATCGTACACATTACCAGCAACGGGACTGAGCTTGAATGACTCAACAACATTGGCGATGTCCGGGTGACCGTCTGAGTGCTGCACTGCTTGAGGTTCCTGAGGATGGTGGCCGCTCTTATGATCCAATTGTTCAATGCCTGCAACATGTTGGTCTTGGTGAGATATACTTCAACATGAGATGGTCTTACCCAAGACTGTACCCTGATTATTGTCAGGAGGTGAGATGTCCGTATGAACATTCTCATATGTAAGTGTCTGCATGATCGTTATCAGGCGGAATTCTGTCAGTGCAGGTCGCTTGTCTTCAGAAAGTTCCACTTTCTGCTCCTGTGTTTGTCCAATTTGCTCTAGGGCTGGGCTCGTATCCTCATAGCTAAGTCTTGACGTTCCGGTTTCAGTTCAAAAGTTGACTTTGGTCGGCGAAAACACAGCTCACTGATCAATGTGAGGATCCAGCATTACTGTTTGGGCACTACCCGAGTCCTGGGAAGTCCAGTAGAGCCGATGACAGGTTGCGCTGGTCATCACCTTGAGCGTCGGATAGAGTAGATCGAGACAAACACCTACCATTCGATACGCATATTCTTGCCAGCTTGTGGTGAAGGAGAATTGCACCAAGGACATTGAATAGAAAGAGATGATTGGGGAATCATGATGCTCATTTCGACTTTGAGGTTCGCCCGTACAGTTTGAGCCCAGTTGTCTGGTTTAATGAGAGATTCAGAATCTGATATTTGATATGCACGAGACTCCACGTAGTCAATTCCTATCGTTCCAGCAAAGTGACGTAAAAGCACGGTATGAATATCCTGACGACTCTTTCAGTTTTCTACGGACAAAGACGCGGGGGCTATACTCACTTCCCAGGATTGACACTTATCCAGTTCAAGCACCAGTGATAATCCAAACACGTCAACGACGATGATAGTCTCGACGTCCGCGTAGCCAGGATTTCGGTGCACACGGGACTTAGGCCGGGAATCAAACCACTTCCACAATAGGAAGACACCTACGTAGACGAACGCCATCGGCAAGAACGCAGCTAGTACCGTGTCCGGATGCAAGACACTGGTGACCAAAAGTTCTGACTGGTTGTTGATATCACTCCCTGAGACGCTAGTTGCCGCGATGGCCAGTATGGTTGCTAGACCTCCTTTCAATAGATGTTGCTCCTGTGTCGAGAGGCTCCCGAAACAACTGACTAAACCAGTCAATAGGTCGAAGAGAGACGCGCTCTCGAGGCGTGGAGTGAGCACCCGCGATGTAAGCTCGATGACCTTCCGTGCGCGTTCTGAAACCAACAATAGTGCATTAGAAGATATGTGATTGTGGCCGTTTTTGGCAATACCCTCTGCCACAATTACTCGGGATTCGATCCTCTGGACAACGTGTACTGTGGGAGGTAGTTTCGTGAGAACCTAGCGAGATAGCGCTGAGTACATAGGCGTACTGGTTGTCTCCATCATGCTGATAAGCCTCGGTATATGCGACGTGTTTGCACGAACTTGTGAGCGAACTCATCAGGCCATGCCGTTCTAAGGCAATGATGTCGTACGTACGATGATCCATGTCGTTCCTATCCTGTGTAGTCCATTCCTCGAACAAGTTCGCCAGATCCAGTACACCCGCTGTCGTATTCGTTAAATCAGCATTAGCAGTCGTGCACAGATAGACCATTACGCACACGAGTTCAATTTCGAAGACATCTCTTGAACATCTGAAGCCACCGCCCCGAGGCTCTCGAACGCTTTTCTCATTTCAGCAGGTGCTGAACCGAATCAGGGAAAGGATCAAACCATCATCAAGCTTCACGGAGATAATCCTGACAGCGCTCAACGCCTCAGCGGTAGTGCGACGGTCTTCTTCTACCATGAGCATCTCCGCGCGGCGCATGAGATTAGCCATATCGTCCCCGTTACCGGATAGAGCCGTCCAGAAATGACCTATAAAAGGCGTTGACTGTGGTGTGACATCATGAGAGGCGATGAAACAAACTTAGACGGTTCTGGCTCATCATATGAGTGATAGCGGCGAAAGAACGCAGCATATGCGCCAGGATCTCGATGATCATGCCTCGGGTGGATTCGCTCAGTTGCGCACGCATATGGATCTCTAAGCGAGCCACATGATAACTGAACTTCTCCAGTATCTCAGCTACTGCGTCGAAGCGCTCGCTCATGCCCTGAGTAGCCTTGCCGCCTATGAGTTATAGCGCGCACCCAGGAAAGGTGGGATTGGCATACCTTCAAGAGCACGGCAAGCGCCACAAACAATGCCTTGCCTCCCGGTATAGCCTGAAAGGTAGTTAGGCATCTTGTATGATCAATGGAGTGATAAGACGCACTGTAGCTGCCGCAGCTTCTCCGGCAGCATCGAGCACAATCAAAGCCACATGAACGATGGGTCTTAGTGTGCTACGAATCTTGGTCCAAATCCCCCCCGATGACGGGCGGCGGTAATTCTTGAATTCTCGGTCCATGTTGTCCAATACAGCGATGACCGCCTGCGGGCTGGAGCATGCTGTAAACCGTTTGTGCAAATACGAGTCCTGATCACGCAGATCCAGACCAGTGATGTCTCGATATTGAATAAGAGCCTCGTCCCACAGATCGCAAAGTTCAGTTATCGAGTCAGATTTTGGTGTTGGGTCCAGGTCGTCAATTGAAACGGTAGGAGGTTCGGAAGGCGCCGAGGGCATGCATGTGTCAGAGGATTCCTTCGGAGTTGAAGGTGGTCGACGTTGCCTCTGGTATACGAGGAGGTATCGCTGTAGGGCGTTAGGGGCCATGGTGGCGGTCCAGAGGGAAGGTGATACAGCGGATTCCTGTCGGTCATAGGGTGCGGGTATCATATCATCCGCATCAGGCCTCGCCTCTGCCTCGTGCAGCCACTGGCGCCCTACAGTAAGAGTCAGCTGAGAACTTTGCCGTGCTTCGGTGGTTATGAGCGCTGAGAATCGTACCGATTCAGTGTCGCGAGTTCTCGAGCGAAGATATGTGTGAGCAGAATATCGCATGGAAGACCGACAATGTGATGTATTTGATGTCGCTGAGGCTCACTGAGACAGGCATACTGTCTATTCCTGAGCCCCACTTGGACCCAGCAGCGAGCTCGGGCGGTCATGCCGGTATCACGCCCAATGCACGCGGAGGAGCAGCAATATGTACTATTCGGTCCAATTGGAGGCGCTCATGGTAAGACCTTAACCCTACACGAGTCCGACATGTGGTACTTGTTGCGCAAATGTGTATAAAGGCTGCCGTCCTGCGACCTTATTGTCAGTCATTCGCCTGGCTTGCTACGTTGGGTTTTCACGCACCTCTATCTAGTCCGATATAACCATCAATCCCATCCTGTCCGCTCCCTTTTATGATATAGGGTCTCTGCCCTATGTCGTTCGCACATAACCGCCTCTCTCTCTCATCTTCACTTCAGGTTGGACGAGATCGCAGTGGCGTCAGGCAGTGTGGTAACTCTGCCCAACCAACCACCAGCCGTGCAAGAGAACTGCGCGCACACAGATCTACGAGCATAATAAGAACATCAAAAAGCGGGTGAGATGCCGACATGTTATTTGCTGGGTATTCGAGCTGGTGGCGGTCAAAAGCCAACTCGCAGAGACCGGGATAGCGCACGTCGTGCATTGGTTACGCGGAGGCTTGGACTTCTTGCGTCACATCTATTTGTATCTCTTTGCTGCGTCGCTCTGTGAGCATAGCCGTGCAATACAAGATTCCCTGACGGATGAAGTTTCGAGTCTTCGAGAAACGAAGAAGGAAGGGTTCTGTCGCCCGCCACCGGTGAAAAAGTGGGGTCTTTCTCACGCTCCTTTACGGATACAAAATATGCTGGTAGCTGCCGCTTTCGGTGCCCCAGGTTCTCGAAGAACGTTCGATTTTGGTCCATCTTGCCAGGATGTGAGACATTGGGGTGTTTCTCACGTTTGTGGGCCAGTGTGGGTGCATGCAGTCCTGTCATGCTGGCGTCTGCCCTAGGTAAATCTGACGAGCACGAGAGACCCGGCGAGCGTAGCGAGCGGCGGGGCTCGAGTGCTCGGAATATGGCGCTTTACATGAATCAATAGGACCGCTGTACATCAGATGCGTAGCGGCGCGCTGTGTCGTGTAGCATGCATGGGTATTCATATAGCTAGTCGCCTGCAGCCGACGAGCACGAGCCGCCCGCAATGCGAGCTTAGCGAGCGGCGACGTGTGGCGAATGCTTGAAGGATGGTGCTCTCCGTGCACTTCTAGTTGTCTCGAAGATGTGGCGCATCGGGCTCAGCAAGTACCGGCTCTATGTTGCGAAGGAAGTTGTGGCATGCTGTAGTGCTCGTTGTTTACCCGATACCTTAGTGTTGTACACATCACGTATTTACCGATTCGTATTATCGTACGCGGTTCGAAACGGGATACGCCCGTACTTGATCGAGAGCTACTCTACACCTGTTGAACTGGGTCTGGTGTGTGATATAGCTACATCACAGGCCCGCGTCAGGGACTGGGCGTGGGCGCCGCTAGGATATCGGTAGAGCATACGCAGGCGTACGCTGGACAAGGCTGGGCCGGCTAGACACAACAACGCGGTCACGTTTATCTTCCCACGCCGGGATCCTCGACGCCCAAACTGCAACCTCCGCTCACACCGCGATCGTTCACCACTTGTCCCTTCGCCAGCTCCTTCTCCCACAGAGCGACTTCTGAGTCCCAGCAGATATGAGATATAAGATGAAACCTACGGGACCTGAGCTACGGCCGGAAGCACGAGCCGAGGTTCTGCGCGAAGTACGGACGTGCACCAGGGCGAATGGGGATGTTCGCGTTCTGGGACGCCGGCGGCCTACAGGATGCGGTGCCCCAGAACTTCGGAAAGAGCTCTACGGACGCAGCATGACGAGGAGGAGGACGAGTGGTGTATAGCCAGAGCCGTTATCTCTTCCAATCGACGCGGGCTGTGCACGTAGAGTCAACAAGCGCCCGACGCATACACTCAGAGGTCGGCCACGAGGCAGTCGGATCCGGATGGCTGGGCGGACATGGCTCGAAGGGCTATCGTCGGACGACACGCGACGCATCGAGTGCGAACGCCAGCCATCGCTCAAGAATGCATTCCGGCGCGACGCCACACTCGTCTGCGCCGCCCCCTTCCTCTCGCCAGCTCTCATCACGTCAAGTGTGCTATTGTACAACGACTCGGACGTAATCAGGCAACAAGGCGGCGGACGATCTGCTCACACGCGTCGAATCCCTTTGTATTGTGTTCGAATTTGGTCGAGCGAAGAAGCGCCGTACAGCCCTGTGAAGTTGCTATAAACGCGCCGTTGTCCTTGTAAGTCCAACTCCCGACTTGTCCCTGTCCCTCGCTCAGCTGGAACTGTGCGCAGGTCTGCTACATAACATCTACGCCCTCTCTCTGCCTGGTCAGTGCCTCCTCTCACACTCTATGTTCGACGCCACATCTCACACCCTCTTCAGCCGCCTCCTCCGCTGCCCATCCCCTCCACCAACGACTCACGACCTGGCGACGACATCCATCCGCCCCTTCTTCGCCCCTCCGCCCGAGGACCCCCCGCCCCCGCGCAGAAGCCGCAGCCTGCTCCGCAGACTCACGACGCGCCGCGCGCGCAGCCAGACGCGCTCGCCACCCCGCCGCGCAGAGCGCATCATCGATCCGTCCCCCACCCAGCCCTTCTTCTACATCCCGCCACCCCCCGCACCCACCACAACGCGCCGCCGTCGGCCGAAACGCCGCAACACGCTCATGTCGACGCGATACGACCTTCGCGCGCCGCCGCCCGTGGCGTCGCAGCCGATGTACCCCACGCAGTACCCGCACCCCGGCACGCCAGCCATACCAGCCGTTCTCGTGACGCCGGCGCCTACTATTACTGCGCTGCCGCACTTGATGGCTCCTGGAACGCACACCTATCACGGACCTCACGCGCAGTATGTGCCCGCGGCGGCTCCGGCAGCGTATGTCCCGCCTACGCCTGCGCCGCCTCCCCCGCTCGCACCCGTGCCCGCATACCAGGCGCCACCGCCGCCTCCTGGCCCGTACGTGCAGCAACAGCCGGCGTACGTGTACTCGCCTATACCGCCCGCCGACTACATCCCTTCGCCGCCTACGCCCGCGGTGGGCCATATACCCTCGCCACCCAGGGAGGGGTACGCGTATACACAGCCGGCAGCGACGTATATCGCTACGCCCGTCACACCCGCACATACGCATGTGCCCTCACCGGTCGTACATCGTCCTCCGCCCTCCCCACACCGCGGCTTCATCCCGCCTCCACCGCGCGACTGGGTGCC